CTCTCTACTACGTACTACTCGTAAACTAATAGAAATATAGAGATTATTAATTAATATCTTAATTAGCGTCTATATCTATTTATTAACTACTACTAGAATAATTAGTTAGACCTTCTACTCTATATAGACTAGATATAAGCTACGTTACTATATAAAACTATAGAACTAATAGCGTATAAAATTAAATTTAGATACTAGCTAATATACTACTAGAATTAGAAGAAGCGTATAATAAAAGCCTCTACTCTATATAAGCGTCTCTTACGCTAGAAAGCTTAGAATTTTACTAAGAAGTAATATAATACTATAGAAAAAGCTACTAAAATTATACAAAGTAATATTACAAAAGCGTAAGCTAGGCAGGCGCTCTAAGTAAACAAAAAGCGCTAAGAATCTAATTTCGCGGTAGGTAACCTTGTCTATATTAAACCTTATAGCTTTTTAATAAATTAGCCTAGTATAAAGCTTAATTAATAGATATATAGCTCTTACCTAATTATTACTATAAAGAGTTACTTCTTCTAGCTCTAGCTATTTACGTATATATATATATATAATGTTTTTTATGCTAATTAGTTATGAAAAGTTTTAGAGCTATTACTAGAGTAGGTAGAGCCTAAGTAGCTACCTATTAAAGTTAATAGTAATCTAGAATAGCCTGTATATAAAATTCTAGATAGCTATCTTTATTAAAATTGTCTTTAATACTGCGCTGTATAGGTTACTTATAATTCTAACTCTACCTAGTATAATACTATAGACTTTATTAATACTTTCTATAAGGTAAGAAACTTTTACGTAGTATACCTAGATAAGCTAGAGCTACTATTATAATTAAATACTTAAATTAAGGTATATAAAAAAGATAAGACTCTAGAGAAGATAGTAAAGAATTTAAAACTTGTAAGAGTAGAAGACGCTAGAGTAACGTAAAGGCGCTACTAAGTAATTTAGAACTCTACTAAGTTTATAGTATTATTTAAGAAGAAAGCTAATAAGAAAGCTACTCTACTAATATAGAAACAAGCCTCTTTCTTTCTAGAGAGAAGGTAGTAGCTATAAAAGTGCTTCTAGTTTAAAACTAATATAAATATACTTACTATAAGCTAAAAGAGATAGTTAAGAGTATAATATAGAAGTTTTAGAAGAAGAAAGACCTAGAAGGCGTATTTTAGAGCTTAAGAATAAGCTCTCTCTATAAAAGAGAGTAATATAATAGTCTAGTTTAGAGATTTACCTTAGGTTATATAACCTTAGGTTACGTAATCTTATTACGTAACCTAGCCTAGCGTCTTAGCGCTTAGCACCTCTATATATAGAGCCTCTTAGAGTATTCTTCTACTTCTTACCTTTAGATAGCTAAATTTAACCTAACCTACTCTACTTATTACTCTTATTCTTATAGCTTGTAGAGACTATATTACTTGTAATTAACTTACCTAGCTAGGTGTTTAAGAACGCTTATAGTAGTAGAGATTACGAACTTAGCTCTTATAATTAGAAGAAGTATATAATAAAAGTCTCTACTTTATATAAGTATTTCTTATACTAGAAAGCTTAGAATTTTACTAAGAAGTAATATAACGCTATAAAAAAAGCTACTAAAATTATATAAGATAATATTATAAAAGCGTAAACTAAATAGATACTCTAAGTAAATAAAAAGCGCTAAGAATCTAATTTTACTATAGATAACCTTGTCTATATTAAACCTTATAGCTTTTTAATAGATTAACCTAGCGTAAAGCTTAATTAATAGATATATAGCTTTTATCTAATTATTACTATAAAAGATTACTTTTTTTAGCTCTAGCTACCTATATATATACGTATAACGTACTTTATAAATAAACGCTCTATACAAACAAACGCTCTAAAAATACTAAGCCTAAGAATTAACGAGTCTTTCTTAAATAACTAAGCGAAACCTTAATATATTTCTATAAAAATTTAAATATATATTAATCTGTACTATATACACCTACTATTAAATTTGCACTATATATTTTCTATTACGTAAGCTTAAAATAAGTCTTTTCTAAAAGTAGCTATTCTTAGAGTTTAAACCTTATAAGAACTAGTAAACTATTATAATAATCTATAAAACTTTAAATATATATTATATAGTATAGTATAAAGCCTTTTATAAGGTTTAGTAGCGTCTAGCTTAGTAATATCTATCTATTTCTAGAAGAAACCTCTAAACTTCTTATTAGAGACTCTTTAAGTAAATATCTCTAGTACTACTAAGCTAAATGCTACTAAACTTTATAGAAGGCTTTATACTATATTATATAATATATCTTTAAAGCTTTATAGATTATTATTAAGGTTTACTAGTACTATTAAGATTTAAACTTAAAGAATAGCTACTTTTAGAAAAAGGCTTACTTCTAGCTTACGTAATAAGAAATATATAGTACAAATTTAATAAAAGGTGTATATAGTATAGTTCTATATATATTTAAAAGTTTATAGAAAAATATTAAGGTTTCGCTTAGTTATTTAAGAAAAACCTTTTAATTTTCCTAGCTTGGCATTTTTAGGGCGTTCGTTTGTGTAAGGCGTTTGTTTGTAAAGTACGTTACATAATATCTTTTATACTAATTAGCTAAGAAAAGCTTTAGAGCTATTACTAGAGTAGGTAGAGCCTAAGTAGCTATCTATTAAAGTTAATAGTAATCTAGAATAGCTAGTATATAAGATACTAGATAGCTACCTTTATTAAGATTATCTTTAATACTAAGCTATATAAGTTACTTATAATTCTAACTCTACCTAGTATAATACTATAGGCTTTATTAACGCTCTCTATAAGATAAGAGACTTTTATATAGTATATCTAGATAAGCTAAAGCTGCTATTATAATTAGATACTTAAATTAAGATATATAAAAGAGAGAAGACTCTATAGAAGATAGTAAAGAATTTAAAACTTATATAGGTAGAAGACAAGAGAGTAACGTAAAGACGCTACTAAGTAGAGCTAAGAGTAAATTAGTAAATAGAGTTAATAGCTAGAATAATTTTAGAAGACGTATTTTAGAGCTTAAGAATAAGCTCTCTCTATAAAAGAGAGTAATATAATAGTTTAGCTTAGTATTTACTAGAGTTATATAACCTTATCTAAGTTATATAATCTTATCTAGCGTCTTAGCGCTTAGCTCTCTATATATAGAGAGCTTTTAGAGTATTCTTCTACTTCTTACCTTTAGATAGCTAAATTTAATCTAACTTACTCTACTAGCATCTCTATTCTTATAGGTTATAGAGATAGTACTACCTATAGCTAACTTATCTAGCTAGATATTCTAGAATACTTATAGTAGTAGAGACTATAAAGCTAGCTTTTATACTAATATACTATTATTTTATTACTTTTCTTAAGCTAATTAAGTAACTTAATAATATAAGTTAGTAATAAATTAAGATACTATATAATTTTTCTCTAAATTAGAGTTAATTATAACTTTAATTTAGTAGAATTACTAGGTATTTTGTACTTCTAGATAGTAGTATTATTAGTAGAGAGTATTAGCGTATGTAATTAAACTTTAAGCTTTAATACTACTAAATTTAGGTTAAATAGAACTAAGCTAGCGTTTTTTAATTCTATTTTAATATTATTATCTATAATTAATGTATAAAAAGCTATATAAAATATAAGTAGAAACTTAGTTTTTATAATATAGTTAATATAGCTATATATTAGAATCTTAACTTAGTAGCTATATACTATCTTTAATAGTAAGAAGTAGCTAATATTAAGTAGCTATAAAAGATATAATAAATATACTAGTATATAAAGAGCTATAATTTTATTCTTCTTATAGTACTACTAGAATTTAATAGAGTTATAGCTTTTATAGCTATCTAAAATTAGTAGATAATATATATTTATAATATAACTTTTAGTATATATATTAAAGTACTTTAACTATATAATACTAACTTTATTTATTATCTAGCTACTTTTAGAAATAGCTATAACCTAGTTATATAGTAGCTAGCTACTTTTATACTATATTATAAAGTAGTTCTTATTTATAATAATAAGAAATAGTAGAATCTATATATTACCTACTACTTTTACTATTATAATTACTAAAATCTACTTATAATTATCTAGTTAAAGACTTTTTAGTTATAATTATCTTTTAGAGCTAGTAACTACTATATAAAATAATATTATTTCTATTATAAAGCTAGATTTATTAAAATTATATATATTTTTATTAGTAATACTATACTTTATCTTTATATTATCTACTAGGTTAAACTATATCTAAATAATTATAAAATCTTCTTACTTTACTCTCTAATAGTTATACTTATAATTAAGCTATATTTTAAGCTTAGAATAGTATATAATAAAGTTATTTAGCTAGTTCTTACCTATAATCTTTCTCTTCTACTTAGTAAGTAGCTAATTAGCTATATCTTAAATAGTAGTAAGCTAGAAAGTAAATTTTTATACGTCTAGGTCTAGTATATACTTAACTATTATCTACTCTTTATTTATAGTAAGCTTTATTAAATTAGATATCTTTTTATATTATAGAGTAATTCTATTATATTAACTATAAACTTTCTTCTACTCTATATTATAGAGAGCTATAGTATACTATAAGCTTAGCTTTAGGTTCTATTAAATAGTCTAGAGCGTAAGCTATATTTAGAATTTATCTAAAGTTAATTAGGCGTTTATAGAGAGCTTTATAATAGAGATAGTAGTATTTAGTAGAGGCTTAGTATTTTTAAAGAATTTATTTGTATAGAGAGTTCGTTTATAAAGTACGTTAGGTTTTTTTAAAATTTTATTTTATAATATTAAAGCTTATACTATATAAAGCTTCTATTTTAAGTTTTATTAGTATAGCTCTAATAGTTATAAAGTTAGAGAGGAGTAAGATTTCTTAGAAACAGTGCGCCGGGTGGGGACGTGCGCCAGCTGATGAAACACGGTATTGCCCACTTTTTACTTAACGCGAGAGCTAGGATGCCGCCACTTCGACATCAACTACCACATCTCAACGTGCAGACCCACTGCGCGATATACCGGACACGCAATGCTTGCACAGCTGTTGCGACGCAGGAATCCGCACGCCAGCCGCTCAGCCCTGGCTGCACTTTCGACGGTCCATCTTACGAAGGCGCGCTATTTCCATGGCACAATGGGCGCGTCCGCGGTACGTCTTGAAGAGCAACCGTTCTTTGTGGAAGACCATCGACTAACTGCTCGAATATAGCCGTCGGGCTACGACCAGTTTATCCTCTTTGGCGCATCCATAATGGAGCAAGCTAGCACGCAAGAACGCGGGTTTGCCCTCGCGCCAGCCTTGCAACAGGGTCCGTCTGCAAAGAGCGGCTAATAGCGGCCATCTATCGCTTCTACGCATGTCTCTAACATCTACGTAGCCTACATCAGACGCCTTGATGTAGTCAATAGAGGGTTCAGGTAGCCTCAGTGGTTTTCCGACAGGGTAACAAAGCTAATCACGTCACTAGCGGGTTCAACACCGACCAGGCGCTGAGAGTGCTGCCAAAGATAATACCAGACCCGGACCAGACTAGGGTCCGTTTCATGGTACGTTGCTGTCGCGAAAGAAGTATGGCTGTATTACTGACGGACCGCAAGGTCATTCTTTTCGGATCTAATGACGCTTGCTTTGCGGAGGCTCAAAACGGGCAGCATGTGCCATTGGCTCAGTACAAGAAGAACCTCGTTGAACTCCTCACTCATCCAGCGATACAGGCTCACAAGCCTCGACTGCTACTGGTGACTCCGCCGCCCATCGAAGAGAGACGTCTGGAGCATCGTGTCAGGAGCCAGGGATATTCAAAGCTCAATCGCTCCAATGTCGTCACAAAGCAATATGCGGAGGCTTCCCGTGAGGTGGCAGGAGATATGGGAGTGGCCTGCGTCGATCTCTGGACTGCTTTCATGTCCAGGACGGGTTGGCAACCTGGCGACCCGCTCTACGGTTCTCAGGACTTGCCAGAGAACGACGCAATCAGGAGCTTGATCCACGACGGCGAGTGCTGTTGATCTAAACCTGTCCAAGCTCCGGCTGATTTTTCATACAGGACTGCACTTCACCCCAGAAGCTTATAAAATATTCTATGATGAGGTGGTGAAGACGATCGCAAAGACGTGGCCCGACCAATTGCCGGATCAACTTCCATACGTTATTCCCGCCTGGGACGATGGAGCGGCGTGGGCGAAGGAGGGGCTCAAGGTTGGAAAGGACAACGTTATACGTCACGACTAGGGCTTAGCTAGAATGCTACGATTGTGCACTAGCTCTTTGAGCGGCAATATCCCAGACGGTCTAGTGAGTTCTATGAATTGCTGTCGCGGGAGGTGATCCGGAGCTCGGCAGTACTATGGCTCCGGAGCTCCCATGTATATATAGAGCTCCTCCACCAATATACACCTCATCCGCTCCTGCTTCTGATGTGCCTCTACTAGCTCGTTTTCTCCTCCACAGTTATGAGCCCGGCGCTTCTAGAGAGCCCTACGTAGGGTATCTCCCTGCGCACATAGGGGAGAGAGCAAGGCAGAGTGCCTTCAGAAGCTTTTGTTTATCTCCATCCTTCCTCTCGCCACGATCGCGTCAACCCAGTCGCCAACGCGTGAGCGTCGCGTCGATTGACGGCGACGCTCAGCAGCGCGACTGACGATTTCCACGATCGATCCACAGCGTCAACTCATGCGCCCGATCAGCCCACGGCATAACCGTTCACGACACTGCGATCCTGAGCAGCTCACGGTCCTAACGCTCGATCGACGCACGCAGCGACAGCTCGTAGAGCTCAGTTGGGGACGCTCCTAACCCTAAGGCTCTCGCGATTGTTTCATGATCGTCTCACAACCGACCCCTTAAGAACCTTCTCTTTCTAGATTGGAGCATTAACTCTTTGCGTACAACAGTTAACCTTCTTAGTACGCGCGGCTTACTAGAGCCACATCACCCCTTCGGGAGCTCGAAGAGCTCATGGGGTGTGATAAGGGTGGAGAGCTCAGTCGTCGGAGCTCACTGCACCACCTACGGGCGCGGGCTCACGATGAGTACCGGACTCTCTCAGCGCGGAGCGTCTACAGCGACTGAGGTTTAATTCCTTAAGAGAGAGGCAGCGGCGACTAGTTTCGGCTTATATAAGTCCTGGCTTAGCAGAGCCACAATACCCCTTCGAGAGCTCGATAGCTCGGGGGTGCGCTAACGGTGGGAGCTCTCCGTCAACAGAGCTCCCACCAACTATCAGTGACGCGCGACGCTCGATTGACGACCCAGAGCGCCGCGTCGTCTGTCAACACTGGCTCACAGGAGCCACATACACCCCTCAGGAGTGTGGGTCGCGATCGCGATCAGCTCGGGGGTGCGACAACTCGTTGGGAGCCCTTGAGCGGCAGGGCTCGCCCACAACGACCTTTTTGGCGCGCGACGGTCCATTAGGAGCGTCGCGCCGTCCAAACACTGGCTCACCGGAGCCACCCTCACCCCTTCAGGAGCTCGTCAAGCTCATAGGGTTTCGGCGCGCGGGGGACGCTCACGGAGCGTCCTAACCTCCAACCAGACTCTCTCAGCGCGGGGCGTCTGCAGCGACTGAGGTTCGATTCCTCAAGGGAGAGGCAGCGACGATTTGTTTTCGGCTCGTACGAGCCCTGGCTCAGCGGAGCCACATACACCCTTCGGGAGCGTGGGTCGCAGTCGCGATCAGCTCAGGGGGTGCGACCACGGTGGGGAGCCCTGCTCCCATCACACCACCAGGAGGAGCGCACTGAGTTATCGCTGCGCGGACGCTCAAAAGGAGCTCCAGCCTCCACCTTTTTCGATGATCCTGCAGTCCCCGAGCCACACGTGACGCCAGAGAAGCGGACCCGCAGAGATCTGGCTCCACTGGAGCGCTCTTGCCGTGATCGGCAAGGCAAGGGATGCCTCTCGACCTGTGAGCGCGAGCTTCAAGCGCGTCAGACGAAGCATTAGAGCTACCCCCCTAGGCGCGCGTACGCGCGCAAGCTCAGGTGAGCTTGGGGGTAGCGGGAGGGAGGATACGTTCAGAAGTAGCGTAGATCTGGCGGATCGCCAGTCATCTAAATAAGCTCCCTCTACTACGACAACCGGTTTGGGAGCTCCGTGTTGTCGCGCTACTTTTTCTTGCGCTCTTCGCAAAGTGCACAAGATTCTGTCTATTATTCTAAATCCTTTCTAGATTCACTAGCCTAGTACCTAGAGACAGGTTGCTAGTTCAGGACACTAGTCTTTTCCGCCGCGTCTCACATCGCTATCAACCTTAATTCTTACCCGCTATAGTCTATAACCGCTTGATAATTGATCACGAGGCAACCGAGAGTGCAGAGAGCTTCTTGAGCTAAAGCGCAAGCGCTTCCCCAGCCTTGTTCAAAATCCTGGCTGCTCGCGGAGTCGCTGACTTCGTCGAGCTACATCTCTTGCACCCCGAATCCCGACTCGTCGACTTCGCCGTCCCACCTGCTTGCTGGGCGAGAGCACAGCGCTGAGCTGTGGAGAACACGTATGGAGGATAAAAAGGTGCAAGATGACGGATTGATGGTTGGTATCTCTTCCATGGCTACGTAAAATCTTGTTTTCCAAGCGAGCAATATCGATTGAGATGATAAAACTAGCCTAGGCTAGAGTAGAGCTACTGAGGCCTAATAGGTAGAGTCTCTAGCTGTCAACGTACAAACCGTGACATTGCTACCAAAAAGTCTCATTACTCCAAATGCCGGCAGTACGACCATGAAAAATTGACACTCCAGCGTCCAGCAGCTGCATGTCATCCTCATCTGTATATTCTGGACCGACAACTTCCGGCCGAATCTCTTCGAGACAGCTTGCAACTTCATTGAAGGTTTCGGATGCCTCATCCGGCTTTTCACGCGCCCGAAGCACGAGGAACAGTCTGAACTTGGTCCTTACAATGTCCTCGTCTCGCCATTGTGTCGTGGCGCAGCCATTTGCGAGGATATCCTTCAGGAGCATTCTAAAGGCCACAAGTTAGATGTTGGGTAACAGACATAGAGGATGCAAAAGAGGAAGAGACTTACTCAGCTCTTTCTAGGTTACCCACATGTTGAGAACACACCGCCAGATTATACTGACTTCCCAGTGTCAGGTGATTACGCACACCTTGCTGGTTCAACCGTTTCTCGTAAGCGTCTTCGTGAAACTGGAGGGCCTCGTCTACGTTTCCAGTGGCGAACAGAGTCATCCCCGTTATGAACTTTGTCTGAAGATGAAGCGGCGAATCTGTTCCAACAGCTTTTGCTATAAGGGTCAAGGAGCGATTAGCCAATTCCCGAGCATCTTCCGCCCTTTTCTTGATAGCAAGTGGCCACAGGAGAAAGGAGTATATGTGGCCAAAACGTGATGTGAGGGTTTCTTCGTTGCCTGCCAGTTTGTAGAATTCATGGGCAGAATCAAACCATTGGCTGGCTTCATCGACCCTGTTCAGTTGCGAGAGACTGACGCCCATGTCGTTGTGTGCTCGTCCAAAATTGACGTAGTCCAGCTGAGTCCATTGCTCGCGCGGAATCCCTTCTTTCTGCTGCTCTCGGATTGCGATGGCACGATGGCAAATTGCCAGAGCTCTGTGTCTCCCTTCCGCACCCAAGTATTGTATGAGCACCTGGAGTGGCCCAAGCACATCACCGAGTACTGGGAGGACTTCGCTAGATTGAGCTTCCAAAAGAGCTGTACATATGGATTCCGCGGTCTCTAGGAGACTGAGCGCTTCAGCCTGGGTTGCGTTGTTGACACCATAATAACCGACATCGCTTAGTAGCTTTGCAAATAGTAGCCGCTCCTTGATCGCAGGCTCCGAATGAACAAAGTTCGTGTGTACGCTGGTAACTTGGGACATGTATCTTGCGCTTTGTTTGTACTGGCTTGTATCCCCTCGTGTGAGTATATTTGCCTTCGGGAAGGCCTTACGCGCAATAGCAACGACTTCGTCGAATATGGCTTGTCTTTGGGGAAGATTTGTGTCGAGTCCTTGAAGGATAGCTCTTTGCAGAGCTCGGTGCGTTTTGAGGAAATCTCCAACGGGCACATTGTAACGTTCAACGAGGTGCCGCTCTAGGAGTACCCCTATGGCGGCATCAAACCTGTTGGAGTTAGCGAAAACCTAATTTCATTCTGATTGTAATGCTCACCTCTCCGTTTCCCAATACTGCCAGCCTGTTGTATTTTTTGCCGACGTAGGCCCAACAAACATCTCCACAGGAACCTGATCAGGGTCCAAGAAAGCAAGGAATTCCAACAACTTTCTTGAGTCGTTTGACAGCCGTCTGAAAGCTAGTTGCCAGACCGTACTCAGGGTAAGCTCGTACGTGCTGTTTGGCAGAACGTCTCCTAGCTCCCAAACTTGGCTTGATCTGATACGCATTTTGAAACTGTTGCAGATTTGATTGAGCGGGCACTGAGATCTGGCAACATATCCTGAAAAATGGGCAATAGCAAGGGGTAGGCCTCCAAGCGAATTCGAGAGCATTTCCGCATATTCTTGCTCAGAACCACCCCGGTTCAAGTAGCTCTGGACGAGAGCACTGCCTTCCTCTGCACTCATTGGTTGAAGATGGATCTCGGATTTGGTAATGTGAGCCAGTTGAGGATTCTGTGAGGTGACGATGATAGCACCTCGAGTACTAGCAGGCCAATATTTGCGTATCGTGGCTACATCGTCAGCATTGTCGAACACGAGGAGCCACGGACTCGCTATCTGAATTTTAGCGATTTTAATCGAACTTTTCTAATGGAGACTCACTTGTTGTTTGAAACCAGTGAAGAACGACCTGCACCCTCTTTTCTGGACTTGCTCCCTTCTCGTCAAGGCCAAGCTTGGCGCTGATCTCTAAGACAGACTCAAGTAGTGTCGCATTGGTCTGAGCTCGGAGCCAGAATAGGTGGGTATAGCAATGCCTATACCTATATGTGTACTCCAATGCTGTCTCCGTTTTTCCCATTCCGCCAATGGCATGTATCACGCACGAACAGCGAACTCTAGTAGAGATGGCTTCTTGGAAGCTGGGTGCGAGTTCAGAATGGAGACGTGCAAGAACTGCCATCCGGCCTTCGAACCTGTCGTTTCGGGGTAGAACAACGTTTGTGACGGGGTCTACGTAGGCCGGCCTTGATTCCGTTGAGCCACTCATCGAGTTGATCTTTGACAGAACCTCAGCGTGCCTCCGGGATTGTTCCTGTGTGTCTGCTAGTCGAGCTTCCTTTTCGAAATGGGAGCTTGCTGAATCGAGCCACGTCTTCGTTCGTTCGAATTCGCCGCTGAGGGTTATCCATCTTGCCCGCATGATTGCATCTGTAGGCAAGTTAATTTATGAACTTTAAGATGAATCTTATTACGCACAACACTTGTTAGGCTGGAGAAGCTCGATGGTCCTGAAGCAGAAATCGATGAAACCCTCGTAGACGTCCCTCAAGGCCTGGTGAAGTTGCGGCGTATGGAAGATCTCAACGTAGGCTCGAAAGCGTGGCAATGCCTTGGAGAGATCTTGAAGCATGTTGCTTGTATCGTCGAAAAGATTGGCGTAACGGAGGACGCCCTAGTGGATTGTCAGTCAGTTGCTGTTTGTCCGTGCAACTGAAACACATCATGTGTCCTCTGGACTTACTTGGAAAATCAGCGTCAAACTCCCCCAAACCAGAGCTGCAATCGGATTCGACTTGGTCATGGTATGGATGGCGGCAGTGAATGGTTCTATGCCCAAGAAGATTTCCCTCAGTCGTGGCACCCGCGGTGCAAACCCATTCGAGTTGTACAAGGCTGTCAGGGTTTGCAGAAAGGCCTCGGGCGTAGAATCGGTGTTGTCTTCGACATTGAAAAGGGCCGACTGGCGTTGAATCTGTAAAAGCTTCTGTTGCACTACCATCTGCCAGAGATCTTGTTGGTAATTTGACCCCTCGTCAGCCAGAAAGTCGCTGTCATTTCCACTTGAAATACTTTTCTCCAGCAACCCTTGACCGGTAGCGCTCGATTCCAAGCGTACAGTGTTAGACTTTGACCTTCGAAAACAACCGAGCAGACAGGTTAAGCAGTGCATTGCGCCGCTGCCAGGCAAGCTAGCTTGGACAGCCCCCACAGACGGCGGACGGCGGACGCGGAGAGCTTGTGGGCGCTTGCAGTCGATCTGACGCTTTCCAAAAGAGCTTTGGTAGGGATGCACGGAGATTAATCGCAATAAGTGGAAACGAGAAATCGAAAGTGGAGACTGATGGGGAAGGGGGGTGGGGTTGGGGCTCCGAGGGATTTTGGCCACTGCTACAGTGGGTGGGGATCGGGCCGCCCGCGCGACCGCGTTAGCCTTGGCACCCTCTGCGCTGTCTTGTCGCACGGATAACAAGAAACTCGTCTAGCTAACATGCGTGCCATTGTACCCACCTGCGAAGGCCTCCAGGGCGGCTGTTACGTGCGTCGTTATATCCAGAGAATTCCACACCACGAGAGACTGTGGTGTGCTGGCACTGGCTGGTTTCGGTGACTGCGTCGACTGTTCGCTTCAAAGTCGCGCACACATTGATACGGGCGGTAATCTGCGTCTGCCGTGCGTGCTCAAGGCTGCCAATGATTCCACCTCCTCTGGACACGGATGTGGAGGCCGCATGGACGGAAACGAGAACGGCAGCCTCCGTAGCCAGTTAAATAAGCGCGTCGCACACCGTCACCCGCAACACAGATCAACATGCGCTGCAGTAAGCCGCAGAGCAGTGGTTGTGCGCCCTGTTGGAGCTCTTGATATGTCGGACGATGTGCGTTTCACCACAGCTGCGCGATGCCCTCAACCTTCGTGTGCTACAGGCTGCCTTGTCTCTTGACCGGTCAACATGTGCTGCAACGTCCCGTGAAGGCGGAACGGTGTCTCGTTCAGCTCCTCACCAGGCTTTGGCCTGCAAGCGGAGTGGCAAGAGCTGCGGGTGAACTTAAGGAGGGGCCTCAACGGCCTAGCGTGGTCGTTTGCCGTGAGGCTCTGCTAGGAGATCCAAAAGGCATGCATATAGTCCAAGTATTGAGGACAAAGCAGCCCCCATGTTACGGACCTTTCTCCCTACCGAATTAGTTTCTTGCCCCCTCTGCGAAAGCCCGGGCCTATCATAATGCTCACGGTCTTGCAGCGAACACTGCAATTCCATCGGACTAGTCGATATGTCATGCAGAGGCTGCAGTGCGTTGACATCTTGAGCAAGCATCATTTCCACGTACGTAAAGAAACATACCCTAGATAGGAATCTATCTAAGTCTTTGCGCTAGAGTGGATACCTCAAGGAACGACTCCAACAGGCGGACGAGGTGGTGCACGCTCTGATAGAAAAGGTGAGTGGCTCCCCCCCCCTAAACAAGTGGGAATGTTATCGCCTCATACGACAGCATTGGAAGCAGACGCAGAGACACGATAATGAATGTATCAATCTCATTCCATCCGCCAATTACGTTGCGAAAAGCGTTATCGAAACTCTGGGGTCAGTTCTTCAAAGTATGTTGTCATGCATAACGAACAGCTGCGCTGATGGCAGCTAATGCACTGGAAGATCCTAATTCTGAGGGTTACATTGGAAAGAAATATTTTCCTGGCACAAAGAACCTAGATGAAGCTGAGAGATTGTGTCAACGACGAGCTCTCCGGGCTTTCAACCTTGATGAAGCTGTGTGGACTGTCAATGTACAATGTGAGTATCCTGCTAGCGATGGCCTCCAGAGCTCTGCTTTACTCACAATAAACTTGCTAAACAAGCCCATTCTCGAGAGCTGTCGCGTCTTCAGGCATGCTCAGCTATCCTCCGCCCACACGATCGCCTTTTCACCTTGGCCCCGACGGGACGCAGCTACCTCTCGAAATATTTCACGACACTGAGTTTCAACAACCACCATTCGACTTCTAACATCGACTATGGAGCACTGAAAGATATGATCGTCGCCTTCCGGCCTCGTGTTCTGCTATCGGATGCTTCTGCTTCCGGCCGGCGAATCGATTACCGAACAATATCCGCAATCTGCCGTTCCCTACGCATCTATGTTCTGCTTGACATTACGGAAACGTCTGGTCTAATCACGGGTGGTCTCATCACTTCGCCATTCGAATATGCCGATATTGTTGTCACCGGGACGCGGGGGTTTCTGCGGGGACCCAGCGGAGCATTGATCTTCTCTCGTAGGAATGCATTCGTGCAACGAACTGATGTTAAGGACGCTGAAGAATTGCGCAGTATTGCGGATGCGATTGATCAATCCGTATTCCCGGGGCATCAAGGTGGGCCGCACAATCACGCCATATCGGCCGTAGCTGTGGCGTTGAAGCAGGCCTCGACACCTACTTTCAAAGCATATCAAAGCTGCGCAGTGGAAAATGCCGAGGCGCTCGCAGATCGACTTACTTGTCTCGGTTACCATCTGAACGCGAATCACAAACCGACCTACTACTTGGTAGTGAAGCTTACGGCCGTTAATGCCAGATGGACGAAGCGGGTACTGGATGCTATCGGGATTGCGGCGGACGTTGTCGTGGAGGAGAGTGAGCTTCACCTTGGCACGCTGGCTATGACGTCTCGCGGTTTTCTTCCCGCGGATTTTCGTTGGGTTGCCGACATCATCCACAAAGCTGTTATCATAACACAACGTCCGTCGGCCCCGGACACAGACACCAGTTTGGCTTGTAGCATGTGTGATTCAAGAATTCTGGAGATCAAACAAGTAATTAAAGAGAGAATGGACAGGGTGACAAGATTTTGAGACTAGGCAGTTGTGGAGAAGAAAACGAGCTGGCAGAGGCACATTAGAATACGCTGGTGAATGGGTTAGAGGTACCCCGAGGTTGGGTTGTGGTTGGGTCGAGGTCGCACGGGCTCTAGGTTGTAGTTAGGTTAGAGTCGCATAAACTCTAGAGTTGTAGTTAAGTTAAAGTTGCATAGACTTAGAGTTATAGTTAACGTACTTTACAAGCGAACCGACCACCTAAATAACTAAGCGAAACCTTAATATTTTTCTATAAAAGTTTATGTATATATTCTCTATAGTATATTACACCTTATATTAAAGTTGCACTAAGATATATTACGTAATTAAAAAGCTATACGTATTTAACTAACTTTTAAGAAAAAATCTAGTTTACTTCTAGTAAGTAGTATTAAATCTCTATAATAATCTATAAAACTTATACTATATAGTGTTTATAACGTAATAAAGATTTCTAGAAAACTTTTATAGAGCTAGCTCTTCTAGATATAGTATAATAAGAAGTAGAAGTTTAAAAAAATCTTTCTAGAGTTTTCTTCTCTAACTATAGATATATATAAATAATCTAGCTATATAAAGTTATATGCTATAAGATTATATATACTATAAGTCTTCTATATATTTAGAAGTAATAATTTTAAAATAGTTTTAGTATCTTTCTATCTTTCTATACTATACTACTAAAAAGACTTTACTTTTAAATAACTACTTAAAGCTACTCTATTATTAGTTAATAAGCTCTATATAGTTAAAACTAACTATAATATATAAAATAATAAGTTTATAGAGCTAGATTAACTATATATATATAGTTAGAAGAAGAAAGCTCTAAAAAGAAAATTTTATAACTTCTATCTCTTATTACGCTATATCTAGAAGAGTTAGCTCTATAAAAGTTTTCTAGAAATCTTTATTACGTTATAAATACTATATAGTATAAGTTTTATAGATTATTATAGAGATTTAATACTACTTACTAGAAGTAAACTAGATTTTTTCTTAAAAGTTAGTTAAATACGTATAGCTTTTTAATTACGTAATATATCTTAGTGCAACTTTAATATAAGGTGTAATATGCTATAAAGAATATATATATAACTTTTTATAGAAAAATATTAAGGTTTCGCTTAGTTATTTAAGAAAACCTTGTAGATTCTTGTTGATTTTCCTTGCCAAGAAATCGTGGGGGGGTTCGATGGTGTGGGGCTTTTGATGGTGAAGTACGTTAGTTATTTAAGAAATACAGGTTGATTTTCGTTGATTTTCCTTGCCAAGAGAAGGTGGTCGGTTCGGTGGTGTGGTCGGCTCGCTGGTAAAGTACGTTAGCCTAATTCTTCGTATTTTATTACTTGTGGCTGTGCATGGTTGCCTGATTAGCACAATGCGGCACGACTCACTCTTACTTAGGCAGACGAAGAACGCGTCTCCCGTCTCGATCTATTCTCTTAAAAATGCGTAGCTCAAGCACTGTGGTACTTGCTGCGACCAGCCTCTTAGTTTTCGCTGCGTTTAGCCTACTGGCACTGAGTGCGTTCAAACAATACACTCTTCCCTCACTAGGATTAGGACCATTGCAATTGCAAGACCCGGCTCGAGGTCACAATGGCAATAGCAGTGGAGGGCCGCGAAAGTTTGCAACACCTATTGGGGTTCGTGGATACAAGCTGTACGTGGAAAATAAACAGCGCTGACAATCAGTCCGCAGCAATGGAATGGCCTCTTCCACCCCATAAACCTCACCGTCGGCACTCCGCCTCAACGCTTCAACGCCTCGATCGAGCTATCCTCAAGCGCGTTCTTCATTCCATCAATCTCATGCGACCCATACGCCTGTATGGGTAGACAAGAATACAGTTCCAATCAATCTTCCACATATAGCCCGAACGGCTCATATGCCTCGGCATCGTATTGGGCCGTACGATACACCGGGATCCTGTCGCAAGACACCGTCAGCATCGCCGGTGTTGAGATACAAAATCAGATGTTTGAAGAGTACACCGATTCTCATATGATTTCTATCGGTGGTATGGACGTTGGCTTTGATGGCATGTTGGGTCTTGCACCGCCGTGGAGTGAGGAGCAGAATGGAGAAAAGTATCCAAATTATCTGTCTCTGCTTATGAAGGAGGAGAAATTGGAGGAAAACGTTTTCTCGCTGCGATACCCGACGACCCTGGAGGAGCAGGGTGAACTCATGCTCGGCGGCAGCAATTCTAATCTCTACACCGGATCCTTCCGCAACATTTCCCTTCTACCGGACGACGTGGATACGCCTGGCTTGCAAGGCGGCTGGACCGTCCCCCTATCCTCCATCACGCTGAACACGCCCCACCCCCTGCACCTCCCAACGCCGAACTACACTGCGGCTCTGGTCTCGGAACCGCTCCTCATCCTCCCCACAGCCTTCGCCCGCAACATCACCAAGATCATTGGCGCCGAGCCTTTCTATCTCTGGCTCCAATCCGTGCCTTGCGATCGCCGGCCGTACCTCCCCACGCTGACGTTTGAGATTGAAGGGCAGGAGTTTACAATCGATGCGTGGGACTATACGTTTGAGTGGAGCTTCGGGATGCCAGAGGGTTCTGCGCCGATGTGCGCGGTGTGGATTGGGGAAAGCGGGGATTATGGGCTGGGTGAGGGGGTGGTGGGGCTGGGGACGGCTTTTTTGAAGAGATGGTATTCGAGGTGGGATTTTGAAGGGAGGAGGATAGGGCGTAAGTTTTTGATATGAGAGTTTGTGCGAAAATATGCTGACCAGGTTTTAGTTGCTGAGCTGAAGAAATGAGGGCTGGGCATTGCATTGGACGTGGTATAGTCGTCCTCAAATCGGCTCATGGACATGGAGGAGCGTCAGTCGAGCGGTTCATCGACTACATGAGATAGGTCTGAGAGTCTGGCTCTTTTGCCATTGAAATGCGCTGGTGGTAGAGTTTGAAGCTTCCCGAAGTGCGGGAGTATGTTGTGTACATGACGATGGCATCACCTGGATGCGACACACAGATAGATCGATAGCTCGTAGAGAACTCGCCGCGTCCGCTACGATGTCTCTTGGTATTGGAGTTATTGGAGTTCAGTTGAAGTTCGGCGCAGAGACGGAGATAATTCGGCTAGTCCTTTAACGGCAAGACTGCGAGCCCCACTAACGTCATGGCTACAGGGGTACCTTCATAACATCTCTCCACCACACATTTCAATCCAATGCACGGTTTTCCATGCTCGAAGCCCTGCGAAAGCACTCAATTCGATCCGCCATGAAACTCGACCCGGCCGTCATCAAGCTGCTTAACCTCGATCCTGAAAACACGAGTGTATCTTCAGCCGGCGGAGGAGGATGCAGCTCCGCATCTACTTCTAAGATAACGTCGAAGCTTAGCGATGGGACGGAGAAGTGCTTTTTCATGAAGACTGGCAGGGGAGAGGATGCGGAGATCATGTTCGAAGGTGTGCAAAGCTTCGAAGGCCTGCTCATGGATGCCGTTGCTAACTAACACGCGTCAGGCGAACACGCCTCCCTCAACGCCCTCCACAACGCCGTCCCCTCGCTCTGTCCGCAGTCCTTCGGCCACGGCCACTTCACCTCCCAGCCTTCCACTTCATTTCTCGTAACCGACTTCCTGAACCTCACATCGCGCTCCGCCTCGAAATCTTCTGCGCCCTCCCTAGCCTCCAAGCTCGCGAAACTACATACGACGCCTGCGCCAGTACCAGACGGGTACGATAAGCCGATGTTTGGATTCCCGGTCACAACATGCTGCGGGGATACACCACAGGATAATAGTTTCAAGAGTTCCTGGGCGGACTTCTACGCGAATAATCGGCTGCGATTCATTCTGCGACGAGCGGAAAAGTCGAATGGGTCAGATAAGGAACTACATGCCCTTGTCGAGACGACGGCATCCAAAGTCGTGCCGCGACTAATTGGCGACGACCACCTCAACAACGGGAAAAGGGTCACACCGGTAGTCGTGCACGGCGATCTTTGGAGCGGCAATGCGGGTGTCGGCGTCATCGGAGCGAAAGGCGGAGACGCGGAGGAGGTGGTATACGATCCGAGCGCGTGCTATGCACATAGCGAGTTCGAGCTGGGCATAATGAAGATGTTCGGCGGTTTCGGTGGCAGCTTTCTTAAAGAGTACCACCAGCTGTGTCCGAAGACGGAGCCGGTCGAGGAGTATGAGGATCGCGTAGAGCTGTACGAACTGTATCACCATATGAACCACTACGCGCTGTTTGGGGGTGGCTATCGGTCTGGTGCGATCAGTATCATGAAGAGCTTGGTCAGGAAGTATGGCGAGTAGAAAGCGAAGCCTTTGGTGAATAAGTTTTGAAGGAAGGATCGGAAAGGAAACAAAACAGCTTGCCATAAACACCTCTCCAGGATGATGGTCGAGTGTTTCCGACTGGGGGCTCGATCAGCGCGCGACCCAGACTACATCAACAGGAGTGGAACGATTTCGAGGACGGTTCGAGGTAGCTGACCGCCATCGTCAGACACAGTAAGCCGACTGTCATGAACTATCAAAATAACTTGCCCAGATTGTTCGCTGAACCAAGCCGAACGTGAATATCTTCTCAAAATGCTAAGGACGAAGTAGAAACTTCACGCAGGAGAGGAGGAGTTCAATGCAATCGATCTGAAGCGCTTGAAGATGTACTTTATGAAGACGTCATTCGGGGTCCTTTGCGCGAGGCATGGTGTGAAGAGGCGTTTGAAAGGGCGGGGCCTGTCTCAAGAGGGGCAAAGAGAGGTCAGGGACGGGGAAGGGGAGCGGGCAGATGGCAGAAGACTTTGTCGCTGAACTACAGTCTAGTAGCACACTGATCATCGCTGAGCCTGCACATCTCAAACCTCGCCCAGATTCAGCGCAATCCATGTCAGGGAATTCTTGGTGTTCTCCTGACTACCAATCACAGGTGTAGATCCCTCCACTTTCGACACGTGATATGGTTTCTACCCATACCCGGACAGCGCCTGCACACCTGGACATACGACGCTCCAAGGATTCCATGGCTCATCTAGCGGATTCCTCATCTAACGCTTTGAGGTCGACGTATTTAAGTTGTCGCGATTTCACATGCATAGCGCGATGCGGAATGCAAGACGTCATTCATACGCGCCCAGTCATATGTCAAAGGGGCCACGATCATGCTAACTATAAGGTCGTGCCTCGGTATCGCAACGTAGCTTACGATCTATGATGATGGTAATCCATACAATGGCCACAACCGACATGCCATAAGATGTTGCTCGTGCTCCAGAATCTCCATTGAACATCTGTCACTGTTCCCAATTCAGAAAAGTACGACGAGAAGAACATACTTTTTCGGCGCCTATCGGATTCCACAGAGAGCTTCATCAAATATGCCTCCTCATTCCAAAACCGTCCGCGGTACCTTCGACAATCCCGGCACCCGAGACGCTATCCAAAAGGGCCAAAAGCAAGGCCAACATGACGACCCTGTATCCCTCCATTCCGAGAAAGAAGACTCTGTTCCAAAATCCTCAGATCCGTATCGGCAAAACGAGAAGTCCTCATCGCAGCAGCAACAGCTACCTCATTCTAAAACAGTCCGAGGTACCCTGGCAAACTCCAAGGGTCCGGCAGTTAACAGGACCATGCTCGGAGATCCGGCGAGCTTGAAGGCGGAGACAAGTGATACGGAGTTTGGGAGGGGTATTGAGGCGGTGGGGTTTGAGAAGGAGGGAGCTGCGTATAGTGGTAGTGGGAACGAGAAGAGTAAATTGTGAGGGCGGAACCATGGGGCCTAGCTGCGAGCATCGAGGTACCCCAATATCATAATTCTTATTCTGGATCCATTATCTTTGCCTAATAACGGCAGGCTAAACTGTATACCAAAGCCGGTCGGACACAGTTAAATATAGCTCCAAGACGAAGCGAAGGTCACACTCCTTGATGAGAGCTGACGAATCTTCTGCACGTTACCGTCAAGGAAATTGCGCGATTTTCGGTCAGCGAGGTGTACTCGCGCTACGTGATTGAAGGCAGCGGAATAGAAGGGGAAGGCCAAGACGGATGTAGGTAGCGCATGGAGTACGAAGGAGTGGGAAGTTACGCCGTGCTACAGATTATCCGTTGCCTCCTTTCACTTTCTCTCAAGCCTTTCTTTCCTTTCCTCCAGGTTTCTCCTCGAAATGCTGATTCGAGCAGGAGGACAATCGCGGCGCAGCACTGCCAGCTTACCTGAAATACATTCGCTCAGGCCAATCATGCACAGCCATGTACTCGCGTTCCCAACCTGCAACCATACTCTCATCGACATCTCCCTCTAAGTGGCACACCGACGATGCACCATCACCAATCCGGCCCTCGTAACGCTGTGATAGGGGCGATGAGCGGATGTGCGACTCAACATGCCTCCATCTAGGCAACAATACACACCCAAGTACCACGATATGTGTCAGGATAAAAGATCCAACGAAAAACACAGAGCTATTTAGTCGCCCCCTCGACACTCCCTCTTCCAGCCCATCCCAACCTCTCCATCCTCTCGACTCCTTTCCTGCCACACTATTCTATCCACATCACTCACTCACTCATCAACCGTCCATCCACCATGCATTCCGCCAAACTCTTTCTCCTCGCGCTCTGCGCCTCCCTCGCTTCAGCACAAGCCACGAGCAGCACCATGCCAACCCCCGGCCAGCCTGCTGCCTCCGGCGTCCCTTCCCAAATATCTCAGACCTTGGCGCCGCCCCCCGCCGCGACGAACGGCAGCTCGAACGCGCCGCCGGGGGCTACGGGCAATAATACGCCTTCTGCTACTACGAGTGGTGGAGCTGCGAAGAACACTACGAGCGCTGGTGCTGCGCCTCATTATGGTAAGTCGACACACTCCCCACTCAGTAGATGTCTAGAACATGATGGCTGACGGACGGCGACGTAGATGCGGGAATGGTCCCGATTATGGGCTTGGGGGTTGTCGTGGCCTTGGGTCTTGCTTGAATGTGAGAAGGGGCGGTGGACGTAATAGGGGGTGGGCGTGAATGCTCGTGTACACTAGTTTGGAGTGTCAATCGAATGATTGTATACCTTACCATGCTCGACGTTTGTTCGAATTCCATGCTGCACTTTGGCTCCACTGGAGCAGCTGTGACATGCTATGCGATCCAGAGCTTCACCTCGTGGAGACCTTCACATACCTAGAAGCTCGTTGCACATATATATACCCTGATGGTCATATTGACGCCCTTGCTACAACCATGGAGTCCTTACAGTCTGGTCAATGTTTCCCTATGCATATTATACATCCACACGCTGCTTCTCTCCTTCCATTGCTCCAACATTGGACCATTACAGAACGCACAAGCCACTTCCGGTCAGCGGCCTTCAAGATGTTCGCTATTGGTGAGCTCTTGGAGCATATCCTGCGCCATGTTCCTGGAAAAGACCTCCTCCGACTGCAGCGGGTCTGCAAGCGATGGCGGAATACCATCCGTCTTCGCAGCTTCCGGCCTCTACTCTGGATAGAGCCTGTATTATCCGCAGAAGGCGACCCACATTTCATTGCACCCAATGTTCCACAAGGCTCCGTGTACCCAGCCAGACTCCGTCTCGTGCAAAAAGAATTCTTCGACAGTTGGCATGACTACGAGGACAGTCTCATATACCTCAATCGGCGCTCAAGAATGAGCAAGGAACTCGAAGAGTCTGTCATCGAGAAGGGCAAATGGTCCGTTCCATCTCTGCAGTCGATTTGCAGTGCCTGCGGCTGCTGCCACGGCCACTTCCGCCTCAACAACATGCATCCGCTGCTGCACTGGCTGCTCACAAGCTCCGCGCTCACGGTCTGCATATCTGGATACGGGACCCACGTTCATATCTCTATCTGCGAAAGGCGCCTACCTTCACTGGAGAATTCCCACGTTGTCCATGATTCACAAGCCCTCGCGCTCAGCCATTTGGTGATCGACACTTACAATCGCATGGAACGACACGCCCGCGGAAATGACATGTTCCTGAATCCTATATGTACCCAGGTCTTGGTATCTTTCTATGACAAATCCGAAGTCGAGTGGGCTAAGGAGCCTTTGCGGGTGCGGCGGGTGGTATTGCTCCTTGGGAGGGTGTGCAGCCGATTTTTGTCTCAAAGTTCAATTGAAGGAAAAGAAAGTGAGAGACAGGCTGCGCTTGAGGAGCTGAGTGGATTGCCGCAGAGCTGGCCGAGGGTTTGGGTTGGGCGCCAGGTAGCTAATTGAGATTGTATCTCCAGCTTTATTTCCAGCCGAAATCGCAGGCCGGGTTTGAATGCATTGGTACGAAGCGTAGTAATATTAGCTATGAGGTATTAGCGAGTGTGTAAACGGTTCAAGTATTGAAATGATAACTCACCTGCTTCCTTAGACTATCACGACCTCCCGAAGGTCGGCGGGTCTCCCCTCAAGCTGTCCATCCATTCCTCCATGGAGGTAACATGGGCCCACGATCTGCAAAATGTGGCTCCCAGCCTTGCCCTCTCCTCTTTTGGTGCATCTCGCATTATCATCGGTACTTGACAACCTGGGACCCAATGAATGCGGTCCCCCGGTTTCACTTGCGGGTGCGCAAGCCCTATGAATCCCTTCTTGGTATAGAAAAAGGCTTTCTCAGGGAGAATAACTGATACCGTGGCCACCATACGATCAAAGTGTGCCTCGATTCGCCGGCGTTCTCCGTCTGCAGGCAGGATCCTTTTCCTCGAGAAGTCATCGATGTATTGAAAAACGCTCTCAGAAAAGCTTGCAACATCCTCCATTGTGAGTCTCCTAGACCAAAGGACATCGCAATAATAGTCTGCAGTAAGAGTCCTCCACCACGCCTCTTTCCATGAGCCTCCACCCGGGTAGTCATCGTCAAGGCAGTCGTTCTCCGCGAGTTGGGCAGCAATGTCGCGGACGACCGAGAGTGCCGGGTCAAAAATGGTGCGGTGTATGCCGTCAGCAATGATTTTGTTTGTGTTCTCAATCTCATCCACCACACACGCACTGAAGCGCAGCTGTTCATTCTGCAATTGAATAGGCAACGGTTGTTGGGGTTTCGAAATTGAACACGGATATATAGCCATGAACTCGCTCCATGAGTCGCTAAACGATGTCCAGTGAACGGCCCATGATGGCAGGAGGCTCAACTCATGCCTAAGGCCGGCAAAATGTAATGGAGATAAAGATTGTTCCTTGCTGATGTAGTCTGCCGAGATTTCCGTCGAGAGTTGATGGAAAGACCGCGTGTAGTCTGGCACCATATTGGACGTTGGTTTGGTTAAACCTAGTAATGAATAGACACCGTCCGCGTTCACTGAAGTCTTTCTGCTCGGAAAGCGCCGGCAAAGATCAAGAATATGAATCCTGTGGTCGGAACAGCGCCGCAAGTCGAATATGGGTTTGAAATTCACCAGGAAGCCCTGGATTTGACGACGGAACCGGAGGTGCCCTCGATCCGATGGAATGCTGTCACAGGCCTCACAACCAAGGTGTTGGAGAGCGTCCCAAATGAGGCTTGAATCCAATAGTACCGTTCCGAAATACACGTGAACAGAAGGCGCCAGGACTGCTTCTTGTATCACCCACCGTCTCTCGAACCAGTGACTGGACCTCAGAGACTCAAAAGCTCCGTAGACATTGATGAAGAAAAGGTCCTTCTTGTCGCAAGCAAGTACGGACAAGGAATTGAGATGCGTCCCCTCGGAGATATCGCGTATGAGCTGTACGCATGCTATAGATATGCCTTCCAAAATCGTGTCCGGGAACTCTCCTAACCAGACGGCGGTTGATTTACAGAGTGAATATATTTTTCGCATGAGCGGGATTTGGTGCTCTTTTTCGCTCAAATCTGCCTGATTTATGCACAGTGCATCAGCCCAGATGGGTAGTGGCTGTTGGCCTTTACTGTATGCGTGCCATCTCAAGCGCCGGAGAGCTGCATAATGGGTTTCCAATACTGGGACCTCGTGGTCGCCGACATTGACGGTAGCCATCACGGTCGTGCCTCCCCCAGACGTAAGACAGCGCGGTATAGGTGGGAGCCTCATGGAAACTTACAACCGTGAATGTTCCTCAGATGCCGCAATCCCATGATCCAGGGGAAATGGTGAAGAGCCGGATTTCGTCTCGTTGACGGTCGAGCGGGTAGGCTGCGTAGAGCTCCTCCATGCTGCCTGCGAGCGAGGATGGACAACAGCAGTTCGTCCCGAAGAAATCGTTAGTGGCGCGTTCCTCTTCGAATTTGGCGTAAATGGTGTGTAATGCGGTCGCGATGGATACTGAATGTTGGTTGTTGTCGTGAGGGACCAGGCAGCTCGTGCGTCAGTCGGCAGCATGTAGCACACCGGAGCGCCGATGCGCCCGTTTGTTCCACAAGCTTTGTGACTTAGACAAACTTCCATTCTTGTTCGACTTGCGTCTGTCCGCGGGCTCTCTTACGTGGCAGTCCTGCAAAAGCAAGGAACTGCAGTGCAGATGTCCACCATACAGAAGATCTCCTATCTCAACTACACTATCACTCTATCCCCAGAAACGTCTCGCTGCTAGACTACCAAGGACGACGACCAGACTTCTGCATCTATACCCATCATCCCACTAATGGAACCTATTCTTCTCCGCCTGCACATCGTTCTCCAAAAACACCTCAATCTTATCGTTCATCTTGGGCCCAATATCATTGCTCAAACAGCAACACACCGTACCAATAACCCCAAACGCAATGCTCGTCAGACACACCGTCCTCAGCGCCACAACGTAGCTCTGAATAAACGCGGCCCCGGCCGCAGCGACCATCGCCTCCGTCGTGCCAGGAACCTTTGCAATGGCCTCGGCCCCAAGTGGCAGCGCAGCTAGCAATGCTGTAGCCGTATCCTGCGAGCCCCCAGCCGCCGCAACCGCACTCGTGACAAGCTTCCCCACCTGTTCCGCCTGCACATTCGAAAGAATCGCTAGGTAGATGGACGATGAGAGCGCGCCCCCGGTCCACCTTGCAACCCCTGCCAGCGCCCCACTGATCCCCAACTGCGTCTGCGGCACGCCCATCTGGATCCAGGTAATACTCAGCGTTTGGGCCCAGCCATACGCGCCTTCACAGATAAAGCAAAACACCATGACCATTGCCATATTGTCCGGTTTGCCGAGCGCCATGAGCGAGCCGAAGAGCGTCATGACGGCGAAGACGATAATGAACTGCCACTTCCAGTGGCCGATTCTGATGCCGAAGAACCAGAGGAGCATGGAGCCGAAGATGAGGCCGAGGTTTTGCGGGAGCGTGTATTCGAGCGAGGTGCTGAGGGGCGTGGTGGGGGAGGTCCAGAGCACGTTTATCATGGTGGGGTAGACGATGTTGACGGAGTAGAAGAACATGTTTACGATTACGCCGGCGATGAAGGGGAAGGTACTAGAAGCGGCGTTAGTGCGTATAAAGCCTCTTGAGCGTTATCGGGCTTACAATTCTCGCCCCTTGTCCTTGGCAAAAATCTCGGGCGGGCACATGGCCTGCTTGAGATTCCCAAACCGCTCCCAGCACGCGAACACTCCGATGACGGCGAAGCCCACCACAAGAAGGGCGACGACTTTCGGATCAGAGGACGGGATGATGGTGGTGTAGATGACGCCAGTGAAGACACAAACGGCGCCAGCAATGAATAGTAGAGCTCCAAGATAGTCCAGTTCACGAAGCGCCTGGCCCCACGGAATACCTCGAGGGTGTTTGGGTGGCTTGTAAAGCCAGATCAGGAGACCGAATACAATCGCTGTCGCAATGGCAGGAGCGTAAAAGAGCCATCTCCACGACTCTCCGTGTCGGATAGCGTACCGTGCGACAATGGGGCCGAACAGTACCGCAATCCAAGTGCTGGCATCTATGACCATTAGTCTTGCCTCGCCATGTGTCCAAGCATGGACTTACCAGCAATAAGTACGCCAATATGTCGCAGCCTATTTGGCAGAAGCTCCGGGATACCGAAAGCACTGAGCTGACAAAGACCGGCGCCCTATGCTCGTTAATCTCCACGTAGTCGAACAGGCCATCTGGAAGACCTACAACACCAATTGCAGTATTTCCCCCGATGATGCTCTCTGTGTTCTTTGCAGCTCCAATAGCGATATAGCCAGCGAAAACGAAGATGTTTCCACTGATGACGAACCAGCGGCGACCGAAGAGATCAGAGTTACCGCCGAAGATCATGAAAGAAATCGCCGTGCACATAGTGTAGCTACACGCTCATTTAGCAGATGTGAGGGGCGAGTGACTTTGCACTTACACTGTAGTCCACCACCCGGCGTTCGTGGGGTTTCCGAGCTGTGTGGCGACTTGCGTTTGAATGGCACCGAGTGTAGTAACAACCCAAAAGCTGAGACCGTATGAAGCGGACAGGATCTTTCTATAATCAGTGGTACCCTTTAATCCAGAGAAAGCGATACTTACAATAATGACGGCCCAGGTCTTCAATGTAACGATATCCTCGTCCTTCGCCTCGTTGGGGATGACGTCCTCCGTGTGGTCCAAACCCTTTTCGACACTGTGATCAGAAGCCTGTGAAGCGGCAGCGTTCTCCATGACCTCGATTTGCTCAATGTCTCTCTTCTCTGCTGTAGTAACCATGGCTTGGCCTGGGGAACAATCTCAATGCACAATGTACAACAGATGGACTCGTGTCGAATCCGAAGATCTGGAAAGACGTGGGAACATGCAGGCAAGTGTCACAATATAAGCCAATATCCATTCCGACGGACCCGCTCGCCTTGGTAGTTGCTTATCTCCACCGTCGAAACATCGCTAGAGCTGGCGACATGAGCTTGAGTCGCGCCAAGGCAGTGATGCCCGTTCCGACCCCTGTAAGAGCTGCATAATCGAAGCACTATGCTCGCTATTTCGGTAGCAGGATGGAGGCAAGCATGTTGATCCATGTGCTAGACCTCATATCGCGAAGCAGATTTGCGGGGAGATAGCCAGATTGCTCGAGAAACGAACAGGTGGTGTGGGGATAGAGCAAGGATCATGATGGCGAGCATGGGCTTCGTCCCGTCTTGTCAGGAGAAGCTTTCCCCATGCCGTGCACGGATGGGGTTGAGATCCGGGTCCCGGGTCGCCTTTCACAGGGATCAATATTCTGGGTAAACCTCTGAGGACCCGTGGTTGGCACAGGAGCCGGTCGGGGATGCTCGGATTGTGGCCTCATCGGTTGTATACTTCCCCGGAGCATTCTGGATTTAGCTCATGCTCCTCTCGTGACTCTTTCGCTTCTGGCCTACTGCTAGGTGCTGACAGATCCTTGGACAGTCCACGGAGGAGGGCGATTCAGAGCCAGATTACACGGAGGAGACGGATGCAGAGAATCTGGCTGTATCCAAAGTGTTGGCGGTTATTGCCCGCCCGCGTGAGTAGTATCGTCCTAGGTAAAAACGCGATGGGGAGTTGTGACGCGTCTAAGCTTCCGAGGATCCGCGCTGAAGGAAATCGATTGCCGAGCTATTTCCTTACTCACCTTTTATTGGCCGCTGCTCAGACAGCCTTGCACAGAGTAGCAGAGCACAGTACTGGACGGGTTGGTTGTTGTAGGAAGGACCGCATCCGTCGAATGGTATCTGGAGTCGACATTTGCGAGCAGGTTGAAACGACCATCGCAGTCGCTGACTGTCTCTTCGCGAGAGCGTCGCAATTACATGATAGCTAATGCATTTGGAGGACTCGCAACACCTCCTCTAACGTTCAAAGGCTCGCTCGTAAAGAAAAACGTCCACCTCTTCTGCTTCTCACACTCCTTCGCCAGCTCTTCGAGCGTGAACATTTCGCCAATCGGCATACCGAAGCCCGAGAGCAGAATCTGGTGCATTGCATGTTCAGACGGTGGCCACGCTTCGAATCCAGGACAGTCGCCCGCAACAGCAGCGATCTTGGTGTCCCAAAGCCACCCCAGGACTTCAAAGTTGCTCTCGAAGCCCGGGTACTTAAACGGGTCCTTGTGCATGATTTCCTTCTTCGCTTCCAGACTTGCGTTCTCAAAAGCTGTGGTGAAACCTAAGAGGGCGTCAATATCGGGTGGAAGAGCCAGCGACTTCGTATGCTTACCGGTTCGGAGCAGCATGATGTCCCCTGCCTGGAACTCGAAATTGCTTTCCTCAGCAATCTGCTTTGCAACCTTCAAAGGTACCGCGTAGAAGTCTAGCGGATCGTACTTGATGTTATTCCGCTCAGCGTAGGACACGAAATCAACCAAGACGCCGCGACCGACAATACCGTGCTTCGCCCAGGCTACTATATGTCAGTCGCATCCTCAGGCGCATCCAAGCAGCGTACAATGAATGCCTAGCCTGTCTGTCTTCCTCTCAATGATCTCTTTCTGTGTAAGGCCATTGTAGAACTGCCCGTCATCAAAGCCCCAATGCCGTAGCCCGTCCCACTGCGTGCTCGTCTGGGTATTAATCGTGATCCGATCGTCCTGGAAGGCTGTCAGAACTGAATACAGAACTCATTCTAGGCAGAGCGCACATTCATGTTCTTTCCGAGCTCAAAGATTTCGTGCTTCATTGTTTCTCGAAACCCACCCGTGTAGTCCATCTGCTCTAGTGCCCAATTGAGACCGAACCGCAACCCTGTCTTTACTTCTTTGGCAGCTGCAACTGTCCGTTTCGGTGTCAGGTGGTTCAAGGTTCCTAGTTCATCATCCATCCCCCAGAGACCCCATGCCGTATGCGGAGGATGGGATGGGTCTAGTGGTAGCTCCGAGAACTTGGGATATGATTGCGTCATCTTTTCCGAAGCCATGGCGTCAAAGGCACAAGGTGAGTAACGGCCGATACCTCACTCTTGCACCGTTATAAGGAATGGCCATAGATGAACTTCGCGTGCCTCGTCAATTCACGCGGCCGTGCTGGCGGGGAAAGTCGCAATAGTAGCGGGGCCCCGGAAATCCATCTCCGCTAACGCAGTTTCGGCAAGGTACCATTTTCACGGCTTTGGACCGCTTCCGGCTTGTGGTGATGTCCAGTCATGGTCGGCCGCCGAGCCTGTCCCAACAACGTGATTTGAGGGTTCGCCTGGCCCATATGTGCAGTCCATGAGTCCAGCTTGCTGCATTAATATACGCACTCGTTCCAGGCCGCGACGTATCATTGGAAGGTGATCCCATGGTCGCAGTATCTCATAGGCATTACGAATGTGATGTTCTTGCCTGGTCTCTTCGACGAAAGCTAATGCCGGGCATTTGAAAGTGATGATGAGAGTCGCAAGCGTAGCAAAGGCCCTATCAATAAAATGTTAGAGAGTCCGGTGGAGTCTTTATCTGCACTCGCGACTTACGCTATTAATGTAAAATGAGTTCCCATCTTGCGGCCCATCAATTGTTCGTCAGCAACGCTGAGGAATAAACAGCACCCTCTAATGCATCCCGCAGCTTGCTCTTTTGTGGCGACTAATGTATCTGGGTCAAGTGGCACACCTTCCCCGTCGCCATGTTCCATGATCTTGAGAACCGAAGGCCACCCGAGAACCACAAACAGAGCGAAATATTGCCCGCGGAGGAACGACTTCCTCGTGTCGAAAACAGGTGCCGCATCTAACGGAAATCGAACGACGGACGGGAGGTGATCATACCACTCCCTGACTTGTTTCCGTAACTCCCTTGTAACGACAGGTGCGTAGATAACGCGCGCGCTGTGATACCCGACAACCTCGAGACACTGGGTCAAAAATTTCCTGAGGCTGATCTGGGCGAGGAAAAAGTAGAAACCGGAATCTTCTTCTTCAAACTGCGGAAGGGGTACCATCTCGTGGAAGTGGCGCAGTCCAATGGGGTGCATTTTCATCGTTGCTTCTAGTTCATGAAGTATAGTCGAGGTTGCCCAAAACGCTCGATGCAGCGCTTCCTGCTCAGAATGGGACATTCGATCCCTCATCCGCGACGTGAGGATATGCATGCAGTCTCTCGCTGCTTGAGTGATCGCGTTCCAAGTCTGCAGTGGGCGAATAGCAAATTTGAAATATGATGCCTGGAGTACGCGACATTGCAAACTGGCGAGGCTCCCTATCCGAAGTGACAAGTGCTCAAGTATCTGACATCCTCGGGCGAAGTAGTCAAGCCCGGGCACTTGATTTTCTGGACTTTCGCTTCGGTCTTCGGATATCGCGCCCAAAGCTAGGAGCATGAATGTGAGGCATGTGGAAGTATTTGGAACGGCAAAGTTCTCGGCAGTTGCTTGCTCAAGTGCGTTGACGCAGGTTCTTTGGTCGAATATTGGAGTCCAACGGAGGAAATTCTCCACGAAACTTTGCTGTAATCGTCGAGTCGTCCGCCGGGTCAAATCAACTGTTTGATTGAGCAGCTCATCTAGCTGATCGGATAATTGCTCGCCGGCAAGGATCTCATCGTCGTAAAAGTCGGTCGTATAGTCCCAGCTCTCCACGTGTATGAATGGAGGCGCACGGAAGGTCAATAGACTAGGCCTGGCAATGAGTGCCTCCGTGGCAGTCTGGCGGTAGGCGAAGTCATAGGACACTGGTGTTCCGACTGAAGGCGCGGAAGTGTTCGCGTTGATGTAGTCAGCCATGTTTCTGTTCACGCTGGATCTGCGTGAGCTTGAATCTTGGGGTGGCAACATCTCGCTGTGATTAGATGCGCTCGGTGATAGCACACTGGCACTCCGAACCAGCTGATTCGTTGACTCCAACCGAGCTTCCAGCTGAGATAGACGACGTTCGATGTTGACCAGGGCCTCCGGTGGTGGACCCGGCGGCTTCGCTCTGACGAGTAAGATAAGCCTCCACCTTACACCTGCAGAAATCCTTGCAAAATTGGATCACGAAAATCCACGCACCTGTCACCAACCGTTGGCTTCCTGTAAGTGCATTCGATGCCCAAATCAGTGCAGAAGCCGCAAGATGGACGCTGTGCATCACATCGCGTCTTCCGGAACCTGCAGACATTGCACTAGACGCCATTAGCATCCTTGTCGGGGTCTCCTGGAAGTCTCAAGGGGACTCACCGCGATTGCTATGCGCTTCCGGGGATAATTTTCCGTTACAGTACTCTGAGGAACCTGTGGGCTGGCAGACGACGCACCGTTCGCAGGGCCCGGATGCGAGTGGTCAGATGTAGGTGAGTCATCATGCTTCCGTTTGGTTGCCATCGAGAGCACAAGGTCAAAGAGCCTAGGTGATGTCTGCTGGCTTTGTGATTAGGAATGGAGGTGTTGGATCGGAAAGCACGGTCGTTGCCAAACCCTCGGGTTTCGGAGGTTGGCTTCCTCCCCCGCATTTTGCCCAATACGGTGTCCATGACTCTATTCGGACTAGGTATGATCCATGCGCCCCAAGCGGATGGACAAAACTCCGAACTACTCATCACGGACTGAAAGCAGCATGCCAGATATAGAGAGATTGGAGGCCGTTATTGATCGAGGCTACCAAATGGTTGGAGAGATAAAAAGCATACGCCATCCTCTTGGAAATGCTAAACATCAGTAGAGTCATCGTTCCCTCATATCGTCAACAAGCTCCTCGATGTCCTTTCATCAATCCCTATCGCTGCACCGCCGTAACCCTGACATTCAGTTGCGGTTTCACCCACGTGCTATACGCCCTCATATTCTTCATCTGACCCTCAGTAGCCCAGTCGGGAGCACCATCTACCGTCTCAATATCGAATCGCCAAAAGAGGCGGCTCAAGGCGAGCCTCATCTCCATATACGCGAGGCTAGAGCTTGTCAATACGCGGCCATGAGAAAAGAAATTACTAGAAAAACTTACTTCTTCCCAATGCATCCCCTCGGACCAAGCGAAAACGGACGGCTGGCGAGTCGGTGGTCGTTCGCATATTCCGGATCAAACCACCGCTCGGGGATGAAATCGTCGGGGTTCTTGAAGTTCGCAGGATTGTGCTGCGCGCACCACGTGCTGACCGAAACCGTTGTACCTCCGGGAAGGAACTGTCCATCAATCGTATCTCCTCCCACGGGCACAGATCGCAAGAAGCCGATCGGCGCTGGAGGAAGCATTCGCAGCGTCTCTTCGATACAAGCATTCAGGTACTGGAGGTTCGTAGCCTTCTCCACAGTAATATCCTCCTCACGGCTGAAAGCACCGCGGACCTCTTCCTGAAGCTTCGCCAGCTTATCCGGATGCGCAATCATGAAGTTCGTCAGTGCGGAAAGAGTCATGGCCGTAGTCTCGCTGCCCGCCACTATAAAGAGGGCTCCATTGACGATGATCTCATCTTGAGAAAGGTCGATTCGCTTCGATTGTCGGACAATATAGTAGATGAAATCCTTCTGCTCGCTCTTGGTGTCGGCAAGACGCTTCAACACCTTCTCCCTACTATAGGCCAGATGATCCTTTCGCTGCGTTCGCATTTCGTTCGGGATCCACTTCATGAGGTACTGTTGGAGCGGAGATCCGGGTGTTGCGATGCGCCTCGTCGCTGTTTCAATAGCACCCGCCTGAACAGCTCTGAAGATGAGCGTAATCCAGAAATGGAAGTCTCCACGGTCCAGACAACCGAAAGATTCGCCAAAGGCGAGTTCGCCAATAACATCGAAGGTCATAAAGTTGAACCAATCGACGATATTGAACGACTGTTTCTGATCCGCGAACCCCTGGAGGTTGCTCATGAGCTTCGTGACGAAAGACTGCACGATATCTTCCTGGCCCCAGAGGGCTTGCTGTGAGAAACCATGGGACAAGGCCCTCCTTTGACGGGCATGTGTCTCATTGTCCGCCATTGAAATTGTCGAGACCCCTGGGACGGGATCAACAGAACCGACGTGAATGGGATCCTTCGCTAGATTCGGCCTTCCCTTGCGGAGGCCATAGATATCTTCCCAAGCCTGCACCGTGTTGAAAGACAGCTCATTCGGGCTAAGTCGGACGATGGGTCCTGGGGTGGAGTCAGTACGCCGTCTCGCCACAGCATCCCCATATAACGTACCGTATTTATCATGTATAGACTTCGTCATCATTGGCAGTCTACCAGTAAGCACAGATATTATGGCCGGAATCTGGATGCTTCGTCAAGTACGGCCAGGCAAAACTCCCGTGAGAGGAACGCACCTGTGAAACGCGGTTCAGAAACGGACCCGGGTATTTCGCCAGTGGATGGAACCACAATCGATACACTATAATGCCCAGAACATAGAGAGAGCCCTGGAGACGTATGTTAGTCGTAAAGGACTCCCTGATTGCTGGTGTTCCATACGAGTGCTACTCCCGCCCCCAGGAGAATTGGGGCTTTGTGCTCAGCGTAGCCCATGATGGTGGGCACTGCCTCTTCTCCTCTTTACTCAAGTGCGAATGTGCCGTTCGACGAGTGCAACCGCTCCTGGGAGTGCAAAGTGACGATCTTAACAACCGGTACCCGTATGGTCAAAGATGGAAGTTTAATAGAGGGTATAAAACCATGAGGGGTAAGGCGACGTGAAGCTGAATCAAAAGAGCCTGGCGGACAACCTAGGTTCCGATCCGACTTCCCGAGCTTCCCCTACTCCGATGAGAGTCTATGTCGGGGTCGGAGGGAACGTATGGGCTATGGGGCTGGATCCGCATTTTCCAACGACGGGGACGATAATCCCATGTCTGCGCAGTTCGTACGAAGACAGCATGGATTTAATTGGGTCGCTACACTGCGGAGCGGATACTGCCAGCGAATATGGCGCGATCGAGTGTGGGGAAGAGGGGGCTTGCAATTGTGGGTGATGGTTTCCGGGGTGCCGGCGTTAGCTCTCCGGCTGCGGCCAATCCAACCCCACGCTCCAGTTTTCAGAAGTACACCCCCGGGAGGTAGGAAATCGAGGAGAAGACGTAAATGGAGAGGGCTGACCGCAATTAGCATTTCCGTCCAAATTCCATTCACCGTTCCGACCCCCGGCCTCCGCGAAGACTCATGAACCTCCACAATGTGCACCCCAATTTTCGTCGACACCCCGCACAATGCAATCTCCTTGTCGCCGATCCACCGCCCATTCACAATGTCTTCCCCCATTCACTACGCCGACCTCCTATATATTCTCCTCCTCTCACAACCTCCTCCTCGCCATGGACTCCCACGTGAGACGACCACGCAACTCACCACCAACAGCAGCAGCAACAACAGCAAACCCGACGCCAACCCTACTAACACAGCCAGCGAAGCCCAAGGGTCCCTCGAGCGCTCGACATCCGCCACGGTGACCGACCTAACACAGCTTAACGGGTGCCTCTCGTTGTCTTTGTCGAAGTGAGAGCCCAGAAAGCCCGACTAGTTTGCTCGCCCGCCTGGTACTAGACTTGCCGACCGACCGACCGACCGTGAGACGGCCTCCACCCGAGCGAACACGAAGCTCTCGTTCCATCTCATGCAAACCGTGATTCATCTCCCAGTGATGAAGAAGCTTGCCGCACTGCTATGGTTTCGGTAATGTGCGCTAACCCTCGCCCGAGCGAACAGGTAGCTCTAGTTCCGAAAGACAGGGTTCGTGCACCTCGCGGCACGGGATCGTCAACGAAGTCGACGGCTCAGGATAGGCAGCGATCGTAGTCTAGAGTGGCTTTATAATCTATAGCGGCTGGGGTATGACCGGCAGGAATCGGGTGGTATGCCCGAAGAAAATCAAGGATGGTAAGTACTTTCTGTTTGAACCGCTGACGGGCATAAGAAAGACCGAACATCAGAGAACGCAAAGAAGCGGCGCACATAGATGTGCCAGGCATGAATAGGAGAGAGGGAGGTCTCGGACTGGCTAACATTGAGTAGGATCGAGGTGGTTTTAGTGCCGAAGAAGCTTTCCACCCACCTTTAAATCGAAATGAGAATCTATTCTACAGTCAACTGAATGCGCATAAATCGAATTGAGAGGTGCCGTGACTTCACTCTTCATAGTATCTTACATGCATGTTATACAGCAGCACCTTTGGCAGCCTCTCGGGCATGCTTCTCCCTCTTCCGAGCCTCCCTCTCCGCCTTCCTTATAGCCCGTAGATCCGGAGGCTTCTCGATCCCTAGCCTCCCCCTCAGCTCATCTACATCCGTCTCCAGCTCTTCTTCCCAATACACATTGATCACGTCGTCACTCTTCGCACCATTCCTGAATGCCCACGGGCCGTATATCTCCCAGAATCTCCGCCATTCTGCCTTCTTCAATGTGAGTGCGCTGAAGACCGCCAGGCCAGTCATTGGCAGCCCGGTATTTGCGAACTCGAATGCCTTGAGCGCGACTTCGCCTTCCCGAAACACGGGGAGGCCGACTAGCGCATGATAAAAGTCGTGGCATTCGCGGTATCGCTGCATGACGTATGCGCATTCTTCGTCATCTATGTAGCGTACGTGAGCTCTGGTATCTGGTGATACCCCTTCGCGATCGAGCCACGCCGCGTATGCATAGCCCAGTGTGTTCGGCGGGAGGTTTCGAAGGCGTGGTATATCAAGCGAAGTAGAGGTCAAGCGAGGTCGGTCGCGGAGGATTCGACGGCCAGTGGGATGTAGGAGCATGCGATCGCGAAGCTTGTATATGAAGTAAGGTTGGGCTGTGGCTTCGCCGAAGGCTGCAATGAGATCTAGATAGCATGTTAGCGGAAATGACACGCATTGATCAACGACCACATCTCGTACCTCCTCTTCGAGGATCTAGAAAGCTCATTAGCCCTGAGCCGAGTGTTAGGCCCAGCCGTTCAGTCCTCGTGAGAGGAACATGGCCCTCGTAGTTCGGCGGCGGTCGGTTGAGCACGGAGAAGCATCTATAGCTGGCAGGTAGAAGAAGACCTCTCGAGATGCTCCTTGATGAAGCAAAGACGAGCCCTGTAGCAGGCTGCTTCAATGGCACCGCCATTGCCGCCAATTCAGTCAAGTTGCCGGAAGGAAGAGCAAGCGTCGAGAGTGCAGACGTGGATGCCGAATATCAGCCAATGATGATCTGACGGAGCTTGGGCCACGTTAATTATCGATAGCGGGCGCCACTTTCAGCCACAGCTCAAGAAAGTCTCACGGGCCGACGACGCTCGCTGTTCCACTCTCAAACACCAGCAACACCATGTCAGATTCCGACGCAGAAGGGGGCGTTCCCCTGATAGACCCGGAGTTCGACGCTACTGTGACGTCCAAAAAGCGAAAGCGAGACAGCGAGGTGGAGACGAGCTACGAGAGCAAGAAAGCTATCAAGAAGGCGAAGCGGAAAGAGAAGAAGAAGCAGAAATTGAAGGCCATCAATGAGGACGATTTGGATCAAGAGCTGGGAGTCAATCATGCGTTTGAACGGATGGACGGTCAGCTGCTTGCGGATTACATAAATTCGCGGACAAGGCTGTACGGGAAGGATCTCAGCAGCGTCGAGCTTGAGGATCGAGTTGTGCCGGGTATGCTTCTCCATGTCTGGAATATGCGTAGTTACTAATGGAGAGCAGCTCGCAGCGTGAAGGATAGCAGTAGCTGGACCGAACCGCGAACTCTGGACAACCTCTCCGCATTCCTGAAAAAGGAGTGCGGCAAACTAGAGCCAACTCCCTCCGAACCTACTGGAGCCCCGCATACCGTCGTAGTAACAGCCTCCGGCATACGCGCAGCAGATGTGTTCCGATCTCTCAAAGGCGGTTTGCCAAAGCAGGGTGTTAAAAATCCAAATGTCGCCAAGCTCTTTGCAAAGCATATGAAGCTGGGAGAGCAGGTCGCACACCTCAAGAAGACAAAGTAAGTGCCTCAGCCCAGATTGTGCGTCTTGTTAACATGGGAATAGGATAGACTACGGTGTCGGCACTCCTGACCGGTTGTCCGCCTTGCTTGATCAAAAGGCTCTCTCGACAGCGAATCTGAGGCGGGTCGTGATTGACGTCTCGTACATCGATCAGAAGAAGCGCGGCATTCTCGACATGAAGGAGCTTCACGAACCTTTGATCAAGTTGCTCCTGAGGACGGAGTTTGTCGGCGAGGGCGGCGAGGATGGGAAGGGCCTGTTCTTGTTCTACTAGCCGTAGAGCAGTGCGGGAGATCACGGCTGGAACTCGCAATATGAAGTGGACCATTAACAGACTGTCACCTGTCTGCGGGCTATTGTAAGCGGCCCTGCTACTGTTAGCATTGGCCGCGAACTGACGCATTGCGGATATAGGGGTCGGGCATTGTACTATGATACCCAGGTAGTGTGTAGCTGCCATCTTCCCGTTGCTGCAGGAGCCCGGATCCTTTCAATCGAGATATGAAGATATGCTCTATGTCAACCGGTCACGACGAATGCGACATGTTATGGTCATTCATGCCTACTTCCTTCCCTCCCCCTAATGATAACAATTCTCGAATGGGCCACAGACTGCTGATTCCAAGCGATTTCTCTGGCTGAAGCACATGAAGTACCCAAATCCATCGTCACAATGCTCCTCTTTCGCCTAGCTCTGTTTCCCCTGTTCGGAACCATTCATTCAAACCCGGTGCACCGTATCGGCGACCAACACTACGAACATGGCCACCCACAGCGGACAAACGCCGCAAAGCCTACAGCTCGGTCCTGTGCGATTACCCCGAGCCCGGTGCCACAGCGTCTAACGGACGCACATAAGCGGCATGCAAAAGACGGCATCCGTAGCCCTATGGAGGCAGTTGTGGACATGGACGGCGCCCTGTAGCACCAAGCCGGCACAGATGCAGCTTTGATTGATAAGGACTGCTGAACTGCGGGTATGCAAAGGGAGTCGGCAGCCAAGCGAGGCGCTACCCGGCAGACCGAAAATGCAGGCGTCCCTGGCGAATGGCGGGCCGCGGGGTGGGAAAATGTAAATGAATTGTCCGTATTACCACAGCGGCGGTGGAGTGACATGCGGGTGATGGTAGAGATAGCTCCATGCTTGACGCGGAGATAGGCTTTCCAATGCTGTGAATTGAGGGCGTCCAGGCGTCGGAGCTGTTTCGTGTGGAGGCCGGCTGCGGGCGCAGACGGCGGCATATGCAGCTGCAGCGCGATCACGGCGCGACGATGGCCAGGTGAAGGAGTACAGGCCGTCGTCGCCGCGAGAGCTGCACGAGGTCGAATGAGTCCGTCTTCAGTAGGCGGCCTTTCGGGGCGCAGAGGGCCAGTGGACGAGACAGCCGCGAGCGCCGTCCTATCACGCATCGCAGGCTGGGCGGCGTGGTGGAGTCGCCGGGCGGCGGGCGGTGAGTGGCCAGCGGCGGGCCCTCTCCAGCTTGGCTCTGGTGGTGTCTCAAGAGAGTTTCAACGGCGGCATCCCCCAGCATTCCCCCCCATGCGCGCCTGCCTTTTGCCAGAAAAGCCAGCGCGGCCGTCCTCTCCACCACCACCGTCTCTCCCGACCGCTGCCAGCTGCTGCCAGCTGCCATCGACAATCGCCATCCCCGCGCTGGGCGCACTGTACAGTTGCACCTGAAAGGAGCGCGCCAGAGCCGCCGTCCGCCGTCCGCCCACTCGCACCCCCGCCCGCAGCTGTGGCCCGCGCTGCAGGACATCTTCCAAGCTTCGGTTCTCCCGCCTCACCTCGTCTGCGGCCAAGCGATAAAACGCCCCTTCTCGCTGCAGATACCGCCGCTCGCCGTCCGTAGCTGTGGAAAATTCACCTCAGTGCGTTCGTCACCTGCTGCAACCAACGCACACAGCCGCGCCCTTACATTGCTTTCTCGCAGATCCCCCAGAGCTCTCCTCGTTTTCGCCGACGCCGCCTTTGCCCCCGTCCGCAAGTACTGCCTGGAGCTTGTGAGGACGCGCACAATCGGCCCTCGCGATGGCTGCACCCACGACCCAGTCTCTGAAGGTGCGAATTCACATCACCCGCGCCCCTCTGCGCAGGAACAAGCTGGCTAATCGCGTCGCAGTGTGTCGTGACCGGCGACGGTGCCGTGGGCAAAGTAGGATGCTGTTCTCTGCCGGTATGGTACTCGATTGCTAACTCTGCAGACATGTCTCCTGATCTCGTACACGACGAACGCCTTCCCGGGCGAATACATCCCGACAGTGTGAGTCGAACCAGCGCGTCCCTGAAACGAGCTAACGCGCGCGCAGCTTCGATAACTACTCCGCAAATGTCATGGTCGATGGGAAGCCCATAAGTCTTGGCCTGTGGGATACCGCTGGACAGGAGGATTACGACCGACTGCGGCCGCTTTCATATCCCCAGACCGACGTGTTCCTAATCTGCTTCTCCATCGTCAGCCCCCCGTCGTTTGACAACGTCAAGGCCAAGGTAAGGACACATTCTGGCCGAGCTAGTCACACAATGCTGAGGTAGTGCAGTGGTACCCCGAGATCGACCACCACGCGCCCGGCGTCCCTATCATCCTGGTCGGCACCAAGCTCGACTTGAGGGACGATGAAGCCACTAAAGAGAGCCTTAGGCAGAAAAAGATGGCACCCATACAATACGAGCAGGCCGTCATGGTCGCCAAGGAGATCAAGGCTCAAAAGTACTTGGAGTGCTCTGCGCTCACCCAGCGAAATCTGAAGAGCGTTTTCGACGAGGCGATTCGGTAGGTGGCCTCTGCCACAGATAAGGGCTTGTCCCCACGCTAACGTCAATGGCAGCGCTGTGCTCAGCCCGCGTCCCCAGCAGCAGCCAAAGAAGAAGGGGCCCAGGTGCGTCATTATGTAAAGAACGAGTGATAATGCGGTAGCATGTGGAGGTGGCAGTTGGTGTAGACGAGGGGACGACGGCTTGAATACCACTCGACGATCTCAACGATGGCTCCGGTCCGAAGTTGAGAAGTAAACCCTGCCATGGCATGGCCCGACCAATTCCAGGCACCCTGGGTTCATAATGGGATTGCGCCACGAGGGCTAGGCGCAACAAGCATATTTGTTTACGGGGCGGGCGGAGTAGGCTCTATGTGATTACAATTTAGGCTTTACTCGGGACTTGCATTTGGGCCCGCGGATTCTGTGTACCTGCGTGTAGATAGCGGAGCATCTGTGGCTTTGGGTCTGCTCCTCTCCTTTGGCACGGAAGATATGGCGGATTTTGGCTTCCATTTCTCCCCGATAGATGTTGCATTTTTGGTTAGCATTGCATTCTCACCCTCTAAATCTCTTCTCTGTCCGAAAATGAAGTGAATATTTGACGTCGAGGTGCACATTAGCTACTATTGTTGGGAGAACGCAGGGCTTGGCCCGGTGAGAATCCCCGCGCAGCCTCGCGTTATGAAGCTCCGCACCCCTGTCGGTTCCCCGATTCACGACTTCACGAGAGCGCGCCCCGCGACATCTGTCCACAACCTCGAGACTTCGCCATGTTCCACGAAGGAAGCTTACAAAGCGGCATCAGCCTCGCTATCCAGGAACAGAAGCTCGTAGCGTGCTTTGTGCGAGGTACGAAGCCCGCGAGTATATCTTTGAGCGAGTGCTGATGGTTTCAGATGATGGTTTGGAGAGCGCAGCATGGGAGAACGACTGGCTGCAGAGTGGCTGGGTAGGCACGCCGCACTGCTGCATGGCGCTATGCTAACTTGTACAGATAGCGAATCTGCTTGTCCAAAAAGCGATCCTTCTGCGCATCGAAGCCGGCTCCACTGAAGCGGGCTTTCTCTCCGCCTTCTGTCCGGTCCAAGATGCGCCCGCTTTCATTGTGATACAGTACGCTCGGCCCACAACACTACGAATTTACTTGCTGAGTGTCGTCAGGAATGGCCAGCTGCAGGAGCAGCTCGTGAACGGCATATCCAAAGACGAGTTTATCAACAGGATACGGAGAGTCCTCGGCGCACCTCCGATCCCAGGCGCAGCGCAGCCCGCTGCTGCTACGACCACCCCGCAAGCACCCTCACCAGAACCTGCAGAAGCCTCATCGCCCGCTGAGCCCGCATCGCAGTCGAGAACGCCGGACCCGCGCTCCGTATCGTCTACACCTCCTCTTTCAGCAAAAGCGAAAGGCAAACAGAAAGCCACAGAGCCAGAACCGACACCCGAGGTCTCCGCTACAAATGCTGCGCGGCAGACCGCGCGCGATGCGCTGCGCAAGAGGAAGCACGAAGAGAAGGAGGAGCTAGCCCGCATCAAAGCGCGGATAGAAGCAGACAAAGCAGAACGCAAGGCACAGGCTGAAGCACGAAGAGCGGAACGAGAGCGGCAGGCGCAGTCATCACCTACAACCTCACAGTTTCCGACTACGAGAAGTACGAAAGGCTCGCAGGCAAAGGAGGTGCACCTCAACGTCAGGCTATTTGACGGCCATACCATCCGCTCCACGTTTGCCCGCACCGCCAATCTCCAAGATGATGTGCGGCCTTGGATAGATCAAGAGTTCGCGGCGAAGGCTGAGAACCCCAGGGAGAGACATCCACCGTACTTCTTCAAGCAGATACTCGCCCCGTTGCCGAGTCGAGAGCTGTCGGCGGGCGACGAGAGTCAGACGCTCGGGGATATTGACCTGGCTCCGTCGGCGACCTTGGTCTTGATCCCAGTCAAAGGATACACGGAGGCATATTCAGGAGGTGCAGGAGGCATTGTATCCGGCGCCACTGGAAGTGTCATGGGCTTGGTTGGAGGAGCGTTCAGCTTGGCCGGATCTGCTCTGGGATATGTGGGAAGTACTCTGTCTTCGGTACTAGGGGGTGGAGGAGCAGACACATCGCAAACGCCTCAGCAAGGTCAAGGCAGGACGGCCGGCGAGCAGCAGCAGCAACACCACGACGCCCCCGGTTCCTCGAGTATCCGCGTACGCACCTTGGCAGATGAGCGGGCACGGGAGCCGAGGAGCCAGCAGCTATATAATGGGAACCAGGTGAGTCTTGGCCAACTCCAGATGAAAAGAAGCGGGCTGGCTAACATGTGTGGGAAGCTCAATTTCGAGCCCCGAGACGAGGATGCGAATCGCTAAGGCGTGCTTCGATTGTTTCTACTACTAATTTTACTAGCTTTGATACAGCATAATGTACTAGTATGTGTACAGTTCGAGCGGACTTGATGCCGTGTTCCATGTCCCCGTGTCAAGCAACCCCTTCCTCTAGGTTCCGCACTGAAAGAACACCATGCTCCTACTCCGTCGTGCGGCCTTGTCTGGGTCAGTTCTGACCTGCTATGCCCCAGGACAGCACTGGTTCCCCGAGTCCGTGTTTCTCTCCTAGTAGGTTCCAAATCGCAGGCCTTTACGTATCGGTTTTCATTGGCGCTCCACCGATCGGTCCCTTAGATATTCGCACGATGAGATATACACTTTTACACCGTCCGCGGGATAGCATGCCGTCCATGCAGAATATATCCGCGTTTTTTCGGGTTGCTTGCGCATATACACGGCATATTTCGCCATGGCGGCGGCGGCTTTTTGCGCTGCGTTCCTTTGGGAGGGGTGGGATGCTGGCGCGGAAGGGACTTGGGAGAGAGGAGGGGGTTAGTATGTTGGGCGTGGGAGTGGGGGTGGGTGGGGGAGGGGGGACGGATGGAAGGACGGGTGTGCACGCGCGAGGTGTGCTGCGGGCGTGAAGGATCGTTTTATGGCACCGCTGCTTTGGAAACGTGGGCGGGTCGGCCAAGCGCGTGTGTGCGTGCGTGCGTGCGTGCGGAGTTTGGCGTCTGCCGTGGAAAGTGTGATTGATGGCCCCATTCATTCATTATATTCTCTGTACTTGCCAAGTCTCTCTTTCCATCCATCCATCCATCCACAGTGCATCATGTGCCTCTCTCCTAACAGGAGTGACTGATCTCAAGAACAACGTGTGGGTTTGGGCTGCTCGTTGGGTGCGAAGTATTTTGTGAGCGATAGAGGTCATTGGGTTGGGAATTTAGGGGTTCAGGGTTGCGGTCTGTGGGCGTGAAGCGGGTTTGGTTTCCTTGGTTCTGAGGGCAAGATTGTGCGGATCAGGTCGGGTGGTGGTTCCTTGGGCATGTCAGCCAGTTGGGATAGCATAATCAATTCGACCTGAGCGGTGGGAAAGTAAAGAAAAGCGCACGCGAGAAAGACAGCAAGGCAAGACAAGCTTGGTTTTCTTATCTGTGGCCTGTGAGGATTAAATGGGATGTAGGAATGCTTATTTTTTTATGTTGTTTTATTTTCGAAGAGGATATGTGTTTAGGAGAGTAGTTAATGTTGAAGTCCATGGATGTGTCTGGCTGGCGCCTCAGGCCAATCCAAGGCAGAGCAAAGCTCTACAGACAGTGCAATTGCCTCACTTCCTCTCCTCTGGAACGGTATCACGGATTCTACCCTACTTTGGCCTTGCCCTGGGCATCACTCACCGCCTACCCAGCGGCTTAATCTGGTATATCCATCCAATGTATTCCTCCACTGTGAACCACGGCGGGGGAGATTAGCATCCAGCACACAGAGAGAAGAAATATATATCGTCGTACCTACCTCCCCCCCTTCAAGTTCTCCTCCAACCCGTCAGCTCTTTCGTTCTGCATGAGATAGCTACTCATCCTTTTTGCTCACCTGGTGTGCTCGGCCGTAATACACATTGCGCGCTGAAGGCCTCCAGGAGGGCCTATACCAAGTATCAGATCCATTCCACACTACCTCACACCTACACCACACGATGCCGTCCCATCCGTCCAGGATCCCTGTCAGGGAGTCACGCAGAAACGCAGACTCTCTCTCCTTGGACGTCAGCGCTCAGTCTACTCCCACCACGACTGATCCGACAGACACGCGCCGCCATGCCATCTGCGGCACTCCACCCGGCGCCGAAAGCCTCCGGGGCCTGGAAACCGCAGGAGAAGAGCAGCAGCAGCACGTCGACGTCGACGTCGATAGCACGTTCGTCGCCCAGGAGTGGGACGACGACGCGAGGAAGCTGACGCCGGAGGAGATCAGCCAGCTGGGAGAGGGAGAGGGAGAGGGAGAGGGAGGACAACAGGGGACTGAAGGCCCCGTAGCTGTGTCCGCCCTCGCCGGCTTCGACAGCCCTACCGAGGTCGCTCAGCAGAGACAGCCAGCGGCGGCCCGCAGGTTCAGCTGGACCACTGGGGACACGGCGCTTTTCTGCATCCGCAGGCTCACACCCGCCAGCGGTGGCAGTGGCAGCTCTACATCCAGTAGTAGCAGTGGTAGTAGCGGTGATGAAACACTGCCTGAAGACGTCCCGCTCCCGCCGTCGCCAGTCGACTCTCTGCTCAGCAGCTCGCAGGCGCAAGACCATCTCTCCACTCTCTCCTCCTCCTCCACCGCCGTCGAGGACCAGCACGCCCCACCACCCCCCGAATCCACGCACTCCAACCTCTCTGGCTCCACGCTCGTCGACGACAGCGGCGGCGCCATCGAGGACACCTCAACGGCGGGGAACCCCTCCGTTGCTGCTCAGCCCTCGACGCCGCTGACGCCGCTGACGCCGCTGCGGCGACGGGCACTCAGCGAGTCGGCGCTGCCATCCGCTACCCATTCCGGCGTCGGCACTGTTGTGAGCGAGCAGCCACCACAGCGTGAGGCGACTACGGCGTACGAGACTGCGCCGAGGAGGCGGGTGGAGAGGAGGCGGAGGGTATTAGGGTTGAGGAATTTGTTTCTTTGTGGGCGGTAGGGAGTTCTGGAGCGGTGGAGTGCTGCACGGTAGCTGTGGCGTAACGCATCGGCCGGGACTGGTTTCGTTGTCGGGGACTGGCGGCGTTTCGTGGTGTGGTGTTTTCATTCCGGTTTGAAGTTTTCGCCACGGATGGAATCTCTAGGGTTATGGGATTGGCATTGGGCGGCGTTTTACCCGTTTTACCAAAAGCACTCTGACGACAGGATGCAGGAACGATGTTATGACGAGCGGGTTAATACCAGGAATACTCTTTCATGCTTTCAGCTACGTGGGTTGCCGACCTAGGGCAACGGCACGGCTCCACTCAACAAAAGTACAAAGCTTTTCGTTCGGCTTTTGAGACTACCAATATGTTAGTTGCACAATGAGAATGTTGTAATATGCGAACTCAGATATTTGAAAGTGGTGATCGGATGCCATTGTCGATAGTATACAGAATCACGCTCAAGTTCCAGGTTACCCAGATCGCCAATGCATATGCAGAGTTTTGTCCATGCTACCACCATGCACTATCACCCAATCATCCCGTATCTTTCACAGAATCCCCATCTCTATCTCCATCTCCTGCCGCCACCCTCTAGTACTGCGAAGCAGCCTGCTGGCACGCCTTCAGCTGATCCAGATACCACCCGCAGATGGTCAAGCTGCCCTGGTTCTCATCCATGCACTTGCGGAAGTTGTTGACGTCCGTCTGGCAGGCGCCGCTCTGGTAGGTTCCCTGGCTCTCCTGGTGCTGCTGCGCGAAGTCGGTGTTCTGGGGCGAGGACTCGGCGGGCGCGGAGGAGCCGCCGCCGAAGAAGCCGCCGATGGCGTGGCCGATGGAGGAGCCTACTGCGACACCGCTGCGGAGATGTTAGCACATATTCTTTGCGGATGAAAGGGGAGGAGGCGATGGTGGAACCAGTGGAGAACACCAAGAGCTCCCTTGCTTTTCTCTGCCGCCAAAACGAGCGAAGGAAAACTTACGCAGCAGTGCTCGCCATCTGTCCAAAAAGACCGGGTCCCTGGCTCGCCTGCGTCGGCGGCGCATGCTGCTGAGCTGGCGGATGAGCAGCAGTCGAAGAGTGACGAGCGGGTGCCGGCGCCGGGGGAGCGGGTTTGCGTGCTGGGGCGGCCGTCGGGCGGCGGGGAGCGGCTCCTCCACGTTGACGAGGCATTTTCGCTGATGGCGTTGAGGTTTGCAGATTGAGGACGAGGCAATTGATGTGTTGCGCTGATGGAGGGTCGCGGTGCGGTGTTGAAGTAGCCGGCGATGTGAGGGAGAGACGAGAGGGATCGGAGGTCGGGCATAAACAGCCGAGGCTCCGACAGGGACTGCTAGGATATCCCAGACATTGTAAGAGATTAGTCTAGTGAGTTCTATGAATTACCTAGTCTCAAAATGTTGTCAGCCCGCCCATTCTATCTTTAATTACTTGTTTGATCTCCAAAATTTTTGAATCGCTTTCTGCAAGAGAAGATTAATGCTCCGCTGGGAGCCCGACTGGAAGAGCAAGTTGAATTTTGGGACCGAGCGGTGCGAAAAAGTTCTAGGTCTCCACGAGACTATCCTCCAGGATAGCTTTCAGCACATCTTCTGCACTCCCGAAGTCTCCTGTCCAGCAGCCCTTGATCGCACTCCCGCATTTCAATACCTCGACATTCGGAAATTCCTTCTGTTCAAATTTTGCCATAACCTCATCATCTGACAGGTCCACATACGGCTCGCGGCCAGTCATGATATAGTATATAACCGAACCAAACGCGAAAAGGTCAGACTTTATATTAGGAGGATCCCGCCAGTCTCTTGGGAGGAAGAACCGTGTGCTTTCCATAGCTCCGCCGTCTAAGCTTCCGAATAACGATCCAGCAAAATCGCAGAGTTGGACGTTGAGCTGATCGTCCAGGAGGAAATTGTTTGGGTGGATGTCGCAGTGGATAACGCCTTTTGAGTGGATGAATACGAGCGCCTCCGCTGCTTGCGTCGTCCACTTTTGCCGAAGTTGTAGAGAAATGTTATCGTGCTCATGTTTCGATATATAGCTATAGATATCGCCATTAAGGGCCCGTTGAAGAAGGATTCCGTGTTCATGTTTGCCCAGGTATTTGACGATTCTGTCGTGCTGCCCCAGTGCTGAAAGAATGGAATGTTCGACATTAAGACTGTAAAGCGCATCGCGGTCTTTCCTGTCGCGTACGTATTTGAGCAGAGTTCCGTCTGGAAGGAGCCCTAGACGTGCTGTGTTTCCGCCGGAGAAGAACTCTGTCACTCCAGGAGGATACCAAGGCTCAAGGTATCTAATCATGACCATTGGATTGACTGGGTCAACGTGGTATTTGCTATCTTCTGGCACCGGTGTGCCATCTCTCTTCAATGAGCATTAGTTATAGCTTGATAAGAGAGCCACCAGATATACTTTATTCGTTAATAATTCTCTCATCATGTCCCAGCATACTTTGTCACTTCGTATTTGTATAGTCCCTGATCTTCGCCACCAGGCACCTTGGCTTTCCCGCTTAGTTGCGCCCCAGCTTGGTTCGCCAGCGTCTCGAGAGCTGGAGTACTAGGAATGATGTTAGCGGATATATAAGGCGTCATAACTAGAAAGAGCGGAAGGATTGGATCCTTTCGCTCCGGAAAAATGAGCTTGAATAGCGGAGGGGGAGAAGCCATGGGTGTAGGGGAAATCCCCAGTGCTGCACAATAGAGGAGAAACAGAGCGCTGAATACCTGCGACGCTTGATTTGATTCAAAGTTGGGATTAGATAGAGGTGGCGGAATGCGGGGCATGAACAAAAGCGGAAGAACAATCCACTTGCTTAGTAAACGGCGAACTAGCGAGTGTGATTGGTTGATATTATAAAAAACCTATGTTAGTGCGAAAGCGCATGTATCTATGTATCCAAGTTGGTAGTCCTGCTTCTGCATATGTCTGGCTAGATAGAGAGGCTTCTCCAGAGTACTATCGCCGCTCCGCTCCGAAGGCTTGGAAGCATTGCCACCCTGCTCCGAAGGCTTGGGAGGGGTCGGTGTATCGGCGGGCATGATGGATGACCTGCGAAGATAGTCTATGCAAATGTAAACATGCTGTCTAGACGAGGCGCTACCTATTCTCACCTTGATATTATTGCGGCGTAGAAGGGCAATTAATTCGAGCTGCCTTGGTACAGTAAAGGGCGGCTACTGTAGAACGGGCTCTTGATAGTGAGGCCCTGCTGCTGGAGGAGGACGTTATCAAAGAAGCGTGACGGGCGGCCGATGCTTTGCACGATGCGTAGATCGAGGGGTGGCTTTGAGGATAGAAGACGAAGAACTCGGTTTGATGGCAGACTTTATACGTACTCTTGCTACACGCCTCGTCTCCGCCATGTCTTCCCCGATCTGCGCTCCCTGGTACTTTCGAGCATTGGCAAAAGCAGAAGCGGTATTCACCCCAATTGCGCAGGCGCCTGCTGTTATGTGTGTTGTGTCTAAGCTCGGTTGTGGGATCTTAAATAGACCAACAGATGATCAGTCACGTGACATGGCCCTAGGCTTACAGTTGATACGAAACCTTTGGCATGGAACTCCTGCAGCCTATAGGACAATGCCAACACAAAACCCGAAATCACGAAGATAGTATATTACTCTTTCAAACGAATGCCGCCGTCTCCCTCTCACAATAAGCCAATAACTTTTTCGCATACCCTGTTCCTCCCTCCCCCTTACTCTTCGTACCCTCCTCAATGTCCTTCCTGCTTGGGAATATGCGACCCCACGGCCCAATGAATGCACCGTTCTGGCTCGCTGTGATGTCCGGAGACCAGCCAGCGTACAGTTCAGTGTATCCGCCAAGAGGAGCAGGATGCAGCAAGAGAACATTCACGACGAAGCGTTGGAACCAGTTCACATGTCGCTGCAATTCAGTTTTCAGATTTCCAGGGTTCCATGACACGCTGATGATCCCGTCTTTGCCATAGAGACGGGCAAATTGGGAGCTCAGATAGATGTTTGCTGCTTTGCTAACCGCATAGTCCATGTGAACGTTGGATCCTTGTTTGATACTGCCGTCCGCATGGAAGACCATACCATTCTTTGGAGCAAAATATGCGGCAGCGGAGGCGCCCCATGTCATACGAACTGATCCAGCTGGTGCTTTCTTCGCAGTCTTTTGCAGAATGGGGACCAGGAGTTTGGTAAACAGATATGGTCCGAGGACATTGGTTCCGATCTGGAGCTCGTGGCCATGCTTGTCCTTCGAACCGAGCAGAAGGGACATAACTCCGGCGTTGTTAGTTAGGACATCCAGTCGCGTCTCTTTGGACAAGAATTCCTGGGTTGCTGGTTTGATTGTGGAAAAGTCGGAGAGATCGACATTGAGAAAGACCAGTTTGCCCCCGGAATTCGGGAATTCAGACTTCAGCTTGGAGATGGCAGCCTCTCCTTTGTTTTGGCTGCGGCCAGCGATATAGATGGTGGCATTATGTTGGTAAAGATCCTTGACCAGCTCATATCCACAACCTGCGTAGCCTCCAGTTACGATGTGAACCTTCCCTACTGAGAGGTTAGCCTCGTCGCGCGCTATGTGAAAGCGAAAGCGCACCCAATTGATCAGGGAGGTTCTTCTCGGTCAATGGCGGCTTGGGGAGGAAGAATGACTGTTTCCAGATGCTGGCGGCGACGCCCATTGCGATGAGGATTGGACAGGTGGTGATGAAGGGGATGTGAAGGTGAGGGGCGCTTCGTTTATGTACGTTTCGAAGTCGGTGCTAGCGGAGATAAGGAAGCTGGCAGCTATCTCGATTAATCATCTCCCGGTGTCACATAGATTGCCGCTTCGGACACAGAGTCTTTCCGTCTTCCGTCTCCTGACGCCACGGATTGCACGCCACTCCCCCTGTTGAAGCAAGACATGCTCCTGAGTGTTACCCTAGTTACGAGAACGTCAAAAATTTTCCAGCAGATATAAGAGCGGCAAATTACGAAAATACCACTGCTTGAAGTAATAATTTCCTATCTACCAATGTTTTCCATTTTGATACACTACCACACATGTGACCTCGGCTCGAAACAGGACCCGAATGCCACCGTTTCATTAGTGGGCTTCGCGCCTTCCCCAGACGCTCTCGGGCAGTTTTACATAAAAAGAGATAGGTCAGAGTCTGTATTATGATATTACTTATCGCTAATTCTTACTACAATCTTTCCGACAGCGCTCTGCTTCTGCAGCGCTTCTAAAGCCTCTACCGTCCGATCAAACTCAAACGTCTGCGCAATAACCGGCTTGATGCCGTTCACCTCAACGAACCTAACGAACTCAGCAGTATCGTCACGACTAAACGCGAAACATCCCTTAACTATTCCTCGTCAGCACCGTCTCCTTTGCCTCGATTCTCTAACAACTTACTGGTCTTGGCTCCAAGCATTACACTCGTCACAAGCTCGGCCGGGAGCGAGCTTGACTCGGACAATATGCCTATAACACTAACCAGCCCGCCAGTCCGAACACAATTAATAGACTTCATCAGCGTCTGCGCTCCACCAACATCCAGGACATGGTCAACTCCCTTGCCGCCAGTCAGACGAAGCACTTCCTGGTCCCAGTCCCGCGTCTTCGCGTAGTTAATGACATGCGTAGCGCCAATCGACTTCGCAATTTCAAGTTTGGCGTCTGACGACGACGTCGCGATAACAGTAGCTCCAAGGGCGGCCGCAATCTATTATCGTCAGCCCGCTTCAGCACGTTAAACGCCGAAAATGCACGAACCTGTATCGCAAAACAACTCACACCCCCCGTCCCCTGCGTAAGCACCCACTGCCCAGCTAACCTCTTCTCCGTCCATTCACCCTGCCACAGCTCTAAAACCCTGTTAAGCCGCCCATCGAGAGCATCCCTAATCGCCGCCCAAGCCGTTCCCCCCGCCGTCACCAGCGTAGCACTCTCCCCCGCACTCAACCCCTTCGGCGCCGCAATAACGCGTTCATCATCTATCACAATCCACTGCTGCAGCGTCCCGTCGCTCGTGAACGAGCCCAGCACCTTGTCTAGGCGCATATTCCGCACATCGCCCGTCAGCCAGGTGTTCTGGTGCAGCACGACGAGCGTCCCTTCCTTGCCCGCCCAGGAGGAGGAGGCGCCAGTGCTGTGGATTAGGCCGGCGCCGTCGGAGCCTGGAACTAGGGAGGGTTTGTGCGGTCCGGGGTAGACGCTGGAGTGGATTGCGATAAGGGTGTCGCGGTAGTTGAGGGAGGCGGCGGTAAGGCGGATAAGGACTTGGTGCGGGCCTGGGGTAGGGATTTCTTTTTGGACCTGCGTGAGGTGGGTGAGGGAGGAGGCGATGGAGGGAATGGTCCAGGCGGTGTTGGTGGTTGGAGACATGGCTGAAGAATTGAGGAGCGAGAATAGACTTTTGCTGCGGTTCTTCTTTTAGATATAAGACGACTGATGGGTGCTTGGATAGAAGGGGATGAAAAGGGGTTATGTACTTTGCTTCGCAAGTCATTAGTAGAAGTCTACCAGTGATGATTACTCCATCCAACCGTACGCGTGGATTAATAAGAGTGCAAATTATAGCATTTCTTGGGAGCGGCGGACGAAAATAGGCGGCGGACGAAAATAGACGGCGGACGAAAATAGGCGGCAGACGAAAATAGGCGGCGAACGAAAATTAGCGGCAAACGAAAATAGACGAAAATAGCTACTATGTTTTATTAGTTAACGTACGTCTCTACTCTATATATAGTTATTACTAAATTTAACGTACTTTATTATCGAAAGCTCTATATTATTAAAAGCTCTAAAAATACTAAGTCTCTACTAAATACTACTATTTCTATTATAAAGCTCTCTATAAATATCTAATTAACTTTAGATAAATTCTAGATATAGCTTACGCTTTAGACTATTTAATAGAACCTAGAGCTAAGTTTATAGTATACTATAGCTTTTTATAATATACTATAGAAGAAAGTCTATAGTTAATATAATATAAGAGCTAGCTTTATAGTCTCTACTACTATAAGCGTTCTAGAATATCTAGCTAGATAAGTTAGCTATAGATAGTACTATCTCTATAAGCTATAAGAATAGAGATACTAGTAGAGTAGGTTAGGTTAAATTTAGCTATCTAAAGATAAGAAGTAGAAGAATACTCTAAGAGCTCTCTATATATAGAGAGCTAAGTACTAAGATACTAGATAAGATTATATAACTTAGATAAAGTTATATAACTCTAGTAAATACTAAGCTAAACTATTATAATACTTTCTCTTATAAAAAGAACTTATCTCTAAGCTCTAAAGTATATCTCTAAAATTATTCTAGCTATTAACTCTATTACTAAATTACTCTTAGCTTTACTTAGTAGCGCCTTTATATTACTCTCTTATCTTCTACCTATATAGGTTTTAAATTCTCTACTATCTTCTTTAGAGTCTTCTTCTTTTTATACGTCTTAATCTAAGCATCTAATTATAATAATAGCTCTAGCTTATCTAGATATACTATATAAAAGTCTCTTACCTTATAAGAAGTATTAATAAAGCCTATAGTATTATACTAGGTAGAGTTAGAATTATAGGTAACTTATATAGCTTAGTATTAAAAATAACTTTAATAAAGATAGCTATCTAGAATCTTATATATAGGCTATTCTAGATTACTATTAACTTTAATAAGTAGCTACTTAGGCTCTATCTACTCTAGTAATAGCTCTAAGACTTTTCTTAGCTAATTAGTATAAAAGATATTATATATACGTATATACGTAGGTAGCTAGAGCTAGAAGAAGTAACTCTTTATAGTAATAATTAGGTAAGAGCTATATATCTATTAATTAAGCTTTATACTAGACTAATCTATTAAAAAGCTATAATATTTAATATAGATAAGATTACGTATAGTAAAATTAGATTCTTAGCGCTTTTTATTTATCTAGAGCGTCTATCTAGTTTACGCTTTTACTATATTACTTTATATAATTTTTATAGTATTTTTTATAGTATTATACTAATTCTTAGTAAAAGCTTAAGCTTTTTAGTATAAAAGATACTTATATAAAGTAGAGACTTTTATTATATACTTTTTCTAATTCTAGTAGTATATTAGCTAGTATTTAAATTTAATTTTATATACTATTAGTTCTATAGTTTTATATAATAACGTAGCTTATATCTAGTCTATATAAAGTAAGAAGTCTAACTAATTATTCTAGTAATAGTTAATAAATAAATATAGACGCTAATAAAGATATTAATTAATAATCTCTATATTTTTATTAGTTTATAGATAATACGTAATATACTTTATAAATAAACGCTCTATATAAATAAACGCTCTAAAAATACTAAGTCTCTACTAAATACTACTATCTTATTTAGATTACTCTAACTCTAAGCTACTTAAGATAAATCTAGATAAGCTATCTAACTTATCTATATTATTTTTAACTATCTAGTACGTTTGTGTGTTATACTCTAGCTTACTATAGTATCTATAGCGTTGCTAAGCTAGCTAGCTATTACATGCTACTACCTCTTTGCGCCGCTTCTTGCCCTTATTCTAATTCGCAGCCTCTCTTTAAGCGACTAGCTATAAGCTAGCTTTAATTATAAGAGTATTCTCTTTCTAAATCTACTTTCTTTTACGCGAATTATACTTCTTTTTCTATACGTTAGCTACTTAAAGCTAGGTAACTTTAGACTTTACAAGTACTAGCTAATACGCTATTAGCTTATTACCTTTCTTAAGCTAATTAAGTAACTTAATAATATAAGTTAGTAATAAATTAAGGTGCTATATAATCTTTAATTAAATTAGAGTTAATTAGAATCTTACTTTAACAAGATTACTAGGTGTTTTATACTTCTAGGTAGTAGTATTAGTAGTAGAGAGTATTAGCGTACGTAATTAAACTTTAAGCTTTAATACTACTAAATCTAGATTAAATAGAACTAAGCTAGCGTCTCTAAATTCTACTCTAATATTATTATCTATAATTAACGCGTAAAAAGCTACGTAAAATATAGGTAGAAACTTAGTTTTTATAACGTAGTTAATATAGCTACGTATTAGAATCTTAACTTAGTAGCTATATACTACCTTTAATAGTAAGAAGTAGCTAATATTAAGTAGCTATAGAAGGTATAATAAATATACTAGTATATAGAGAGCTATAATTTTATTCTTCTTATAGTACTACTAGAATTTAATAGAGCTATAGCTTTTATAGCTATCTAAAATTAGTAGGTAATATACGTCTATAACGCAACTCTTAGTATACGTGTTAAAGTACTTTAACTATATAATACTAACTTTATTTATTATCTAGCTACTTTTAGAGATAGCTATAACCTAGTTATATAGTAGCTAGCTACTCTTATACTACGCTAAGAGGTAGTTCTTACTTATAATAATAAGAAATAGTAGAACCTATATATTATCTACTACTCTTACTATTATAATTACTAAAATCTACTTATAATTACCTAGTTAAAGGCTCTTTAGTTATAATTATCTCTTAGAGCTAGTAACTACTACCTAAGGCGATATTATTTCTATTATAAAGCTAGATTTATTAAAATTATATATATCTTTATTAGTAATACTATACTTTATCTTTATATTATCTACTAGGTTAAACTACGCCTAAATAATTATAGAATCTTCTTACTTTACTCTCTAATAGTTATACTTACAATTAAGCCGCGTTTTAAGCTTAAAATAGCGCGTAATAAAGTTATTTAGCTAGTTCTTATCTATAATCTTTCTCTCTTACTTAGTAAGTAGCTTATTAGCTATATCTTAAATAGTAGCAAGCTAGAGAGTAAATTCTTGCGCGTCTAGGTTAAGTATATACTTAACTATTATCTACTCTTTGTTTTTTATAAGCTTTATTAAGTTAGATATCTTTTCGCGTTATAGAGTAACTTTATAGTATTAATAATAGACTTTCTTCTACTCTATGTTATAGAGAGCTATAGCGCGCTATAAGCTTAGCTCTAGGTTCTATTAAATAGCCTAGAGCGCAAGCTATATTTAGAATTTGTCTAAAGTCGATTAGGCGTTTATAGAGAGCTTTATAATAGAGATAGTAGTATTTAATAAGGGCTTAGTATTTTTAGAGCATTTGTTTATATAGAGCGTTTGTTTATAAAGTATATTATATAAACTTATTATTTTATAAATTATAGTAGGCTTTAACTATATAGAGCTTATTAACTAATAATATAGTAGCTTTAAGTAGTTATATAAAAGTAAAGCCTTTTTAGTAGTATAGTATAGAAAGATAGAAAAATACTAAAACTATCTTAAAATTATTACTTCTAAATATATAGCAGGCTTATAGTATATATAATCTTATAATATATAACTTTATATAGCTAGATTACTTATATATATCTATAGTTAGAGAAGAAAACTCTAAAAAGATTTTTTTAAACTTCTATCTCTTATTACGCTATACCTAGAAGGGCTAGCTCTATAGAAGTTTTCTAAAAACCTTTACTATATTATAGATACTATATACTATAAGTTTTATAGATTATTATAGAGATATAATAGTATTTTCTAGAAGTAAACTAGATTTTTCTTAAAAGTTAGTTTAATATATATAGCTTTTTAATTACGTAATATATCTTAGTGTAACTTTAATATAAGGTGTAATATACTATAGAGAATATATATATAAATTTTTATAGAAAAATATTAAGGTTTCGCTTAGTTATTTAAGAAAAACGAGTTGATTTTCGTTGATTTTCGTTGCCAAGAGAAAGTAGTCGGCTCGATAATATAGTCGGTTCGATAATAAAGTACGTTACTACTATATATATATTAACGTCTTCTTATATATCTAGCTAGTAATATTAATCTTATAGTAACTAAGTAGTCTTCTAGCGCTTTATATAGGTAGGTAGTATATATTTAGTCTAGTAGATTATATAGCGTGTAATTAATATAGTTCTAGAAGAAGACTAGAGTATTATATAGTCTAAATAGTATAATAAGTAACTTATAAAGTCTAAATTAGGTAATAAAGATAGTTTTCTACTTATAGCTCTCTATAATATAAAGTTTATTAAATATAGTAATAATATTTAGTTTTATATAGACCTTAGTATTATATAATATATCTAGAGTTTTACGTATAAGAGGTAGTAGATATTAGTTCTTAATAGTAATATTATTAAGGCCTTAATAGTCTTAATAGATACGAATTTCTTCTTCTAGTTTTACTATAAGTAATAGTAGTACTATATAGTACGCCTAGAATTTCTAGATAAATCTCTTATCTAGGTTATTATTAAGCTATTTTCTAATAACTTATAGTTTTAGTAGAGAGAAAGATCTATTTTTCTAGTATAGTAGCTCTCTTTCTAGTATAAGTTTAATCTTATAGTTTTAGGCTTACTATAGTAGTAATTTATTTACTTTACTAGATAGAAATTCTTTATATAGGTCTACTAACTATAATAGTAGTATCTTAATAAGGTTCTTCTTTAGTAGATCTAGTTTCTCTTTTATA